GAGGACCTCCCAGCGCCACCTGCACCCCAAATGTTGGGAATCTTGGCGTTCCGAATCCAACGCGTGGCCACCGAAGATCGGACCCGTGCCCATATCCGTAGTAGGGTGTTGACCAGGCATATACGGCGACTACCACCGTCAGGTTTTGCCAACCGAGCAAGCATATTCACAATGCAATCCCCAGGCCACCAGCCAAGATCTTCGCAGCGCGAAAACAACAAGTTGATCACTGCCAGGCCCTCATCCGACACGTGACATAACGCTCTAGGCGCGATCCCCGTTTCTCCCACTGCCGTGCGCTCAGGGAAGGAAAGAGAAGCCGCACGCAGTTCAGGAACACCGATGGCTGGCAGTTTGGGCCACGAAGAAAAATCAGCAGGCCTGTCGGGTAGATCATAACCGTGATGTTGCCAAACCTCGCGCCACGTGACCATCTCCCAATCTGCGAGTGCGTGAGGACTCCCATACACCATCGGCTTCAACTTCTCAGGCGCCTGCTGTACCTTAGTAAACCGATGTGCAGCACTAGCACCACGAAGAAAGGACCGATCTGCCCAATCTTTCCATGCCTTGTACTTGTCGGAGACGGCCTGCTTTGTAAAGGTGGACGCCTGCTCAGCAATGTACTGGGCCATACCGTCGAAGTCGTCATGCAAGAAGACCGCGATACCTGAAGTGAAGAACGTTCTAGCCACCTCGGTAAGCCCAGCAAGGATCCGCTTAGCCTGAGCAATTTTGCTTAAGAAAATCGCAGCTTCCTTGACGATCTTAACCACATGCCCGCATTGCTGCGAAGAAACTGGGCACATAGCGTGGGCACCCTGCAGACGCTGACAGTGCTCTCCAAGATGGACACGTACTCGCTTAAGGTGAGATGCCCACCGCTCTGCCACCTGCCAACAGTTCACCTCTTGAGAAACATAAGTACGTTTTCGTGGCGGCTGCCACGACACCTTTTCCCACTTCCAAGAGACATCACCAGCCCGTCCAATATGTTTGCGATGATTGGCACCTCGAAGCTGCCACCTGTCTGCCAAGTCTTGTTCGAGCTGCCGTATCACCTCGTCCCAGGCCACCTGCAGCGACGCGTTGTCATGCGCGTCCAAGACCGCCAAACGTGCCTGACGCCAAGCACCACGCCGAGGGTAGTACGAACAACCAATAGGAGGAACCGATCCGAACCCCCGCGGCTCGCCCATTACCCTTCGCCACGTCGGAATATCATGTGCCAACAACGAATATCGTACAGGCGAGTGTGTAGCTATTGCAGAGTCATGCACCACCTCTGGCTTCTGCATGCGCGTGTTAAGGTTGTTGGCCACCAGCGCGCAGTCAAAAACCGCGCCCAACATATTCTTATGACAAGTAGAAGTCTGGGAGAAAAGAAGACAACCATTCACCTGCTCCAGCCATTCATCAGCCCAGACCTCAGGTTGTAAGTTCCAATCACCAAGAACAATCCAGTCCATGCCCAAGAAATTGAGCAGTCCAACATACTTCAGAATACCTGAAATGATGGCCACGTTGTCAGCGTCGAGGCCCTGGTCGTCGTATAAGTACACGCTCATCACGACGATGCCTTTTGGCACTCCCCAATGCAGGTGTGCCGCCACGAACCTATCCTCGGGTAACTCCACTTGCGCGCGACAGGGAGCTTCAGTCACAGCGATGTCAGTCGTCACCAACACCGACACTCCAGCTCTCGTGCCGCCTGCTTCTGTGACCGAGGCTGGCGACCAACATCCATGGTAACCTAGGTCTCGCGCTTGTCTCTGTATGGACAGCAGCCGATCGCCATGGGCACGATGCTCTTGCACCGCGAAAACTTTGCCTTCAAGTTTTTGAGACAAATAATCAATGAGTGAGCCAGCGCCCGTGGCGTTAACCGTAGTAAGCCGCCCTTGCACCCGCATCCCCTCGCACCCGTCACGAGTGTCGCGATGTAGCGGTCGAACTGGTGCAGGAAGGCCGGCTTGATCTTGACCATGCTCGCCCTCTTCCAGATCATCATCAGCCTGATCGTCATCGCGGTCAGGGCGGCGGGGGGCAGGATGATAGTTGGGCGCCCGTGTTTGCAACAATCTCCTCAGCATGGCCCGAAGTTCAGCAAGTTCACGCCAGTGACGCATCTCGAGCTCGTACCTATCCATAGGTGGCATATCTGCCAGCCGCTGCAAGAAGGCTGTGCGACGAGGTGCTGCCTGCCTCCAAGCTCTGGCACATAGCTCCTCAATGATCTGAGTGAGTGTACGGTGTGGGAACCAACGCAAGAGAGCAGCCCTTAGCCCATGATTGCCTCCTCGCCGAAACATCTCATCCAAGAAAGGTTCGCACCACCGCCTCCAGTTGTTGTCGCCGCTCGGACCGAACACCAAGTCGTCCATCCACATAGCTGCCCAAGACTGCAGGTCCTGGCGCATAGTGACGTAATCGTCCGTAGCCTGCGCCCGTTGTTCACGAACGTGGTCAAAAACTTCAGGAGGTGGAAGGCCCATAGCAGGTGGTGGCTCTGTCTGAGCCTTGATCCGCCGCGTTCTTTTCCAGTTTCCTTTCCCTTTTTGGCGACGAGGCATGTCCCCCTGGGAGCAGGCCGCGCAGTGGCCGTTCGGCCGAGCAGGCCAACCCAGGTCCCTGGATCCTCTGAAGTCCTGGGCCTCTGAAGACGGGGGTTCCGTCGCCTTGGGAGCAGCAAAAGCGGAAACTGATATTGCCACCTCCATGCCTGGCTGCAAGCCCAGAGAAGATTCTGTTGCCGTAAATAGTGTGGCCAATCTCGACGTTGCTCCGCTCAGCTCCTCTCGTGATACCACGTATAGCTGCCAGAAATCGCCGAGAATGTCCACCTGTTGTTGTCCATCATGAATTGTACACGTCATGGTGATATCAAAGAATGATTGCCAATATCCAACTCCATGCAGCCATACCCAATCACTCATATGGGCTGTAGCGTGATACGCGCTTGTGCATGTGGTTAGCTGCAGCCCGTAATTTGCCGAGATCCAACTTCGCAACTGCCTCGGAGTCGACAACCCCCGACTCGACAAAAATATTGCGAAGGGCCTCTTCATCGGCCTCACGTAGACTAGGAAGGGCAGCTGCTGGTTCCTCTGGTTCCACCGCCATGTCAGCTGACGCCTCTGCCGCTGCACCCACTGGCCGAGGTAGGAAGTTACCTGCGGGTTCTGCCACTTCGGGTTGGACGAGCTTCGCCAGGTCCTCCTCTTGAACAATCTTAGACAACAATTCACCTTCCACACCATGCTTTTTGAGAACAGCTTCCAAGGCATCCAGCTTGAAGGGGGCGCGCTGCACCGATACTGTAGCACCATATGCCGCCTGAGCGGGCGGCCGAAGAGCAGTAGCAGCAAGTTGCGCTCGCTGGCCTTCAAGTGTAACCTGTTGCTGACGAAGGGTGGCCAAGTTCGTCTGGTCCTCCTCGATCGCCTCCTGAAGCTGCTTGAGTTGCTTCTGCCGCTGCTCTGCGGCGGCCTCTGCCTTTTGAATCGTCTGGTCCAGCTGGTGGAGCTTGCGATTGACCTCATTGATCTGCACACCAACAGGCTTACGTTCGCGTCGTTCCAGCTGAAGTTTGTCCCGTTGTGCCACAAGCTCCTTTCTGGTACTTGCCAACTCAGGGATTTCTTTGACCAGCGCCTCAGGGAGCTTCTGCAACTTTGCGTCCAACAGTGCAAGCTGATTGTCCAAGGAATCTTCATCATGATCGACGACCTCAACCGTGGGTTCAACTTGCACAGGACTAGACTGCTGTGGAAGCTGACGTTCACGTAGCTGCGCTCGCAACTCGGTGATGTTTGCCTCCAGCTGCTGAATGACTCGCTTCGTCTCCCAGGGAGTGGTAGGAGCTGCATAAGCTGCGGAGTGCTTGCAGGGGCTCCCACTCTCCTTGTTGCCACCGAAGACGCTGCGCTTGTGCATCTGACACTGCTTACAATGAAAATGAATGCCCAGGTTGCACACGCGCTTGCCTTTCTGAGAGCCCCATTTGACCGCACAGTCCTTGCAGTACCAATCGCTTCGCACCCGCTCCCTTTCGCCTCCCATGAGCGCCGTGGCCGCAGGCGAGCACCCAGAAAAGACGTAATGACTGAGAGTGGCGCCCACGGCGCGGAGATACAGTATGGAGTATGCTGACCCGCAGGGCCAGAAGTGGTGGGGGCCGCGATTTCCCCCTTGCCAGGCAGGCCAAGCCCTGAGCGAAACGCTACGGACTTGAGCCAAAATGGCTACGGACCTCCTCCTCCTCCTCCTCCTCCTCCTCCTCCTCCTCCTCCTCCTCCTTCCTCTCCTCTTGTTTCCTCATCCTCCCCCTCCTCCTCTTCTTGCTACCCCATGCATTCCCGGCAGTCTTTCCAAACCGACTCGGGGAACAACTGGCCCGATAGCTTGGCCAAGCTCTGGCCCAGCTGTCGGCCACAGAGGCGCTTCCAAAGGGTCAGGGGCCAGCGGTGATACGCCGTAGGCGTCTTCGATAAACTGGAAGTCCGCGCGGATTGCTTGGATCCGCGCTGGACCCGCCTCCCGGGCGCGTGGAACGCGCCAGGGGCGGCGCCAGAGGCGCCGCCAGGGTGGCCTAGCGCCGATCCGAGAAATCCTCGCGGAGCTCCGAAAGTTTCTGTTTGTGCAGTTGTTTGCTCCTCCGTCCTCCCCCCTCCCTCCCAAACCAGCCTCGCTCTCGTCCCTACCCACACAGTCGACAAGCCCAGGGCGACGACCAGCTGAGGGATCTGCCTTCCGACATCGAGCGAACTCGGGGATGGACCGAATCCCCTTTAGTAAAACGTGGCTTAGCGAAAACGTCCTCGGGCCCAAACCTGGCGGCCGCAAGCCTGGCAAATGACGGCCACGGCGCCCTCTCGAGAACCGAAAACGGAGAAGTCACGAATCGACGTGTCAGAGTGGGGATTGCTGTGCACTCCCGAGGAACCCTCCGAGCCCCCGCGGCGGGGGGGGGGGCGTGCCTTACCGGCGCACGGACGCGCCGCCGAGAAGCCTACGCGGCCTCCAGGCCGTAGGACAGGCGCGCGGGCCAGGCGGGCAGCTCGGCCAGGCCCGCGGCGTGCGCACGCACGCGCCGCCGAGAAGCCTACGCGGCCTCCAGGCCGCAGGACAGGCGCGCGGGCCAGGCCGGCAGCTCGGCCAGGCCCGCGGCGTGCAGCTCGGCCAGGCCGTCGGCATCGGCCACGCTGCCGGGAGGGCGCCAACGGCACGCCTGCACCGATCCTGGCCAGGCTCACCCTGGGCCCAGAGGAGGAGGAGGAGGAGGAGGAGGAGGAGGAGGAGGATCTCAGATCGCAGAGGCCTACGGTGGGGGCGTTGACTTAAGGAACCCTACATAAGGAAGGAGGCCCCTTTTTCCCCTAAGTTGAACTTCGACTTCCCATTGAAAACCTCAGGAAAACAGAAGGCAAACTGAAGGACAATCAAGGAACACCGAGCCTCTCCCCAACGAAAAGGGTTCCTCCTTCAGGGCCCCGACTGTAGGATCCCAGACCACAGAGGAGGGAGAGGTACCGACACCGCTGCGCGTCCTGGAGCCTCCGTTGCCACGGCGGGATGCGCCTCGGAAGCCTGGTCGGAACGCACCCCGGGAGAGCTCCGTGGAGCAGCGACATCGGTGCCTTCTAGCCATACCACACCCGCGTCGGTGCATCTACGCCCCCCTGGCTTTGGCGGGCAGGCGTACGCACCGCTCCTGGGCCCAGGATTGGGACGAGAATGATGTCATGATAAGATCGGCTAGCGTTCCAGGATTGGCAGAGCATCTGACGGCGCAGCCAGTGCAAAACAGTTGGACATGTGGGAGCCTGGAAGCCTTGGACGTCTTCGAACGTATCCAGGGAAACGAACAATGACATAAACATACAAACTTGGAGGTCCGCGAGGATTTCTCGGATCGGCTCTCGACACCCCTCCCTGGCGCGCGGAGCGCGCCAGGGGCAGCGCCGGAGGCGCCGCCAGGGGGGCCGCAGCGCCGATCCGAGAAATCCGCGCGGACCTCCGAGTTTTTATGTGTATGTCAGTGTTCGTTCCCCGAGTACCCTTGTGATGACCTCTTGACTCTCTTGAGGATCGACCCGGTCAGGATCGGGGCTGCGTATGTGGCTGACGCCCTCCGGTGCCGGGGTAGTCGTCGGCGCCGGCGCCGGCGAATCCGGCCGCCTTCTGGGGGTGCTCGTCGCCCCCCGCCTTCGCGGTCAGAGCGACCGTCGCGGCCACCGCGCACAGGAGCACGAGCGAGCCTGGCAGCACGCTCTCCAGGTGGGCGGCCGCCTTTCGAGGCGCCCAAGGACACACCCACACACAACTGAACAGGCACAGATCCCAAGACGCCCCATCTTGTCCATCTGTTCTGGAGCTTCGTCCTCCCCCCACTTCCCAGATGTTCCCATGTTCTGGGGGAATCGAGGATGATGTGTGTCTGTGTGCTCTTTCCCCTCCTGGGGCATGTATTCCGCGCGGTGGCACAGCGACCTGACGCGGTGGCTTGCGCGGGCGGCCAGCGCAGCACGGCGACCCGACGCGCCTTCTTGCGCAGGCAGCTCACGCGCTATCTTTTCCGGGGGATCGACGATTCTTTGTGTCTGTGTGTGCTTTCTCCCCTCCTGAGCCTTGGCAAGCAGTCCCGCCAGCGCCAGCGCGGTGGCTGCACGCCGCGGCGTCGGGGCGCTGGGAGGTGGACCGTACTGGCTCGACGGGCGGCACGCGGACCTGGGGTTCGGTGGGGCACGTCCTACAGGCGGATATTGGAAGAGAAATAAAGGTAGTCAACAAAGAATCAAGCACAGTAACAAAAAAACTATACAAATCGTCACCAGACCATTAAAGCAACGATTCTTGAATGCTCCCCCTGTAGAGGGACATGCCCGACTGAACCTGTGGAACCCGGGCGGTCCCGATTCCGCATAGAAAGCAGCTCCTGGGAGGTCCTCGTCAGAACAAATAAGAGCGATTGAGCCCGACTAAGGGGCCATCGAGCCGTAAGCCCAGGATTTAGCCGGATTGAGCGGGATCAAGTTGGATCAAGCGGGACTAACTCGGCTCTAGCGGGATATATCCTGATTCGGCCAGTTTTCGACCTGGGACATACCAGCACCCACTCTGAATGGAACCTCCCAAGTGTTGCGTCCTGGATGCCGGAGCTTAGTGGACCCTGGAAACGACAAGGCATTTTCTTTACTGGTTCTGTGGTGCTGCTTTTGTTGCCATTTCTGGCACCGTTGTTCCCAAACTCCGTCGCTGCTTCTGGTTCCAATCCTGGAGCCGGTTTTGCGCTCCCGTTTCCTGGAGCAGTTTTCATCACCGCCTTCATGTTTCAGAGACACTCTCTTGACCGTGGCAAGAAAACGGCCCTGCCGTTTTCGGGGCCCACTGAGTCCCGGAATGCGATCTGACCAGGACCCGAGGAAAATCCAGCCGTGGCGACGAGGGCCTCAGTGGAGGCCCACAAAGGCCAGAACGAGGCACGCGGTCGCGGCAGCTGCAGCTTTTCCCCATGTGAGGGCCGGGCACACGCGGCGGGGGCCGCCCACTGGATGATGCACCCGGTCGGCGCGATCCTGGAGGCCTCCCAGATGGGACCCGGTCCGTGATTGCACCGAATCGCCGATGCATCGACGATGCCTCGGCGATGCATCGGCGACATCAGCGTGGAGAAATCGAGCTCCACGTCGAGCCGCATCGCCGATGCATCGACGATGTGGTGCGATCCTGTCTGCTCTCGGGGAGACGTACGACTCGGGTTCGGGGGACTCGGATTGGCCCGACGGAACCGTCATCAAAATGACGGGACCCAATCTGAAATTTGACGTAACCTCCCGCGGCAGACATCCCACGAAAACCGGACCGTCAAAACCCAGGACCCACTCGTCAAAAAGCGTCGGCAAACCCGAGCTCCAGCTCCGTCTGCTCGGACCCCATCTGGGAGGCCTGGAGCTGGGGACTTACTGACCCGGGTCAGTGCAAACCTGGGCAAGTCCGGCCTTGCGCAAGATCCTGCAGGATCATGCAGGATCCTGCACGCAAGCCTGGGTCAGTGCACCCCTGGCCCTGCAGGATCCTGCAAGATCCGGCGCTCTGGCTGACCCCCGTTTGCACTGACACCCTCGACTACACGCAAGAGTGACCCCGGGCAGGAGTGGCCCTCGGTGCGCGGCTTCTGGGGGGGCGCGGGGTGGCCAAACCTGGACGCGCCAGACGCAACTATCGCATCGCGTTCGGCAATCGGGGGGCCCTGGTGGGCCCGCACCAAAAACCCCGTCCCTGGAGTCGGCGGCGCGCGCGGGGGGGAAGTGAGATGGGGCGGCCTTCTCAGATGGCTCCGAAGTCCCACGGCCCTCTGAGAAGCGTTCTAAAAAACCCTTCCCCGAAGAAACAGGAAGACTTCTCACAAGGCGCGAGGGCTTCTGAGAAGCCCCGCCGCCTTCTGCCAAGGCCTTCTCCTGCTCGCTTCCCCCCCCTCGCTCGCCGCCGAGTCTGGCTTTGGGGTCATGACTCGGGTCTCCTGCGGGCGTTCGGACCGATCCGGGCACCCCTGGAACGCCCTCGGCGAGGCGCAGCTGCTGGCAAGCATCCCGAGGCTGGAAAACTGCCGAGAACCGACGAACCCGCCCGGAAAAACCTCGAGCCTCAAGTGCAAAGCTTCCCCGCTCGCTGGGCCACCGATTGAGCCCCGGCGGGGCTCCCCGCCGCTGCCGCAGGCCCGGGCCCCGCGGCGGCGTCCCCGCCGCTGCTCGACGACGACGCGGACGAGGCCTTGGCCCACGGGCCCCACGCGGCGCGCGGGTCGCCCCGCTCGGAGGCGCTCGCCACCGTCGAGCCGCGGGACCACGCCCAGAGGTCCTGAGGCTTCGCTGAGCCGACCCCTCTCTTACCAGCCTCGAACGTATCCCTATCCCTAAGATTGACACGCCAAAAGGCGATGACAATCTTAGGGATTCGCCCTCAAAAAATAAGGGAATCCCTAAGATTGGCATCGTAATGAGGAAGTGCCCAGCATAGGGATAGGGATATGCTCCAGGTTGGTAACTCTCCCCAGACCCCCGCGAGCCATGAAGCGATCACGACGGAGAGCTGTACGCCATGTTCGGCCCCTGGAGGCCCTTCCCGGGCCTCGGGACCGTCAAAGAACGACTCCGGATGAAAAACGGGCTACGGGGGATGGGTCCAGCCCGCGGGGGGAAATCATGACGTCGGGGGCCTGGGCCCTTACTGTGGGCAGCAGCTATGTCCACATCCAGTGCGTCTGGGGAGTGCTGGGCGCTCGTCCCCAGAAACCGGAGGCGCACTGGATATGGATAAGCATCTGGCCCCCAAAGGCTCGATGTGTTGCCCATATCCAGTGCGCCTCGGCCTTGCGGCACCCCTTCCCAAAAAGTCCAAGACGCTCTGGATAGAGTCATCGGCCTGACCTAAGGAATGATAAATAAGGAACGAAGCCCCGTATTTTTCCAAGGAGTAACGCAGAAGGAACGATATATAACAAATAACGCATTAAGTAATGATGAATAACGCATGCAAGCCTAAGGAACGACCGAGCCCCTTTTGAAAAGGAAGTGCTCCTTATTCAAGCCGCGTACTGTATGGATAGAAGTGCTGCTCGCACTTACCTCAGGAGGCAACTCGCGGGAGGCCCTCGCTGGAGCGATGGAGTGCGGTGACGCCCGGCTGGAGGGCCACTTCACCAAATACTGGGCCAGATTAAGCCTGTGATCAAGCCGGATCAAGCGGGATTCGGCGGAATAATTAGGCCGGATTAGCCCAGGGTAGGCCAGTTGTCGACCGCGAAAGTACCAGGGCCGATACAGAAGGTAACCTCCCAGGAGTTGCATCCCAACTGACCCGTCGGTCGGACGACGTTGGGAGAAGCCTGAAGTAGGAAGGCGGTGAAGGTAGACTGGACTACTGCCCGCGCCCTGAGGAAGAGGGAAGAGGGACAACCGCTCGACACCTGAAGTAGGAGGGCACCCAAAGCAGATTGAGATCTGGATATCCCCAAATACCTGCTTTCAACGACCGGCGTGTACTGGCGTGGCCTGGGCCCCACTGGCCGAGTTGCCCCCCTCAATCTGGGGATGTGGGCTGCTCCCTCTGGGTTTCATGGGGCCTCTCCCCGTGGTGGGGCTGAGATACGATGGCCTGGTGGGGACCATGATGTTGGACGCCCTTAATGGGTTCAGGACAACAACAACAAACGTTGTCCCAATCCGACAGCGGGCGTGGTTGGGCAGGCGACCTTCTGTCTCACATGGACAACGACAACGTCCGCGGCGGCTCGGACAGCGAGCCCTGTTCGAAATGAACAGGACCTGCAGTTGGGCATCGTACCCAATTTTTCCGTACCCATGTCGATCGTACCGACTGATGAGAGGCTTCTAGATGGGGTCCGAGATCACGCCGCATCGGCGATGCATCGCCGATACATCGGCGATGCATCACGCCGCCAGCGCGAAGAAAATCGGGCTCCACATCGAGCCGCATCGGCGATGCATCGGTGCGGGCGCGGCCGCAAGAAGCCCTCGCAAAAAAAAACATTCCTGAAAACCCGCGCGCGGGGTGCACCTGAGGGGAAACCCGGAGCACACTGAACGCAGCAGCTTCCTCGGCAGCTGCGGGAAGCCACCGCGCAGAGCGCGGAGCGAAGAGACCCAGGATACCCTGCCGAAAAGCTTCTGGCTTCTTGATGCGCGCCCCCCACGGCAGGGGGGGACCGGCTCAGGGAGGAGAGCACCGGCCTGCCATCGGCGACATCTCGCCAAGAGAGCGGCGGCGGCAGGCCTCCGACAGCGACAGAGGCGCACGATGCTGCGCGGGGTGGGCTGTCGGGCCCCCGGCGTCGATCAATGTGACTTTGGGGGTCGACGCATGCCCCCCCCCCGATGAGCCTGTCCACCCCCTAACTTGAGCAGGGACCGACCGTCCCGGCCTTCCTACATGCCTACCACTGCACTCCGACCCCACCTAGGAGGCCCAGATAGGGAACCGAACTCTATACACCGACGCTTTTTCGTGCCCTGCACTGGAACTCACGCAGGAGAACGGATTATGGTCTATACGGCATCCTGGTGTATACATTTTTCGTTGCTTCCACGGGAAAGCGGGGAAACAAGTATACACCACCCCACCCCGACGTCGTCCCCGACCCAACAAAAATCCGGGGATTGAAAAACAGTCCGCCACTGGTAATATACGGGGAAGCTGGTAATAACAAGGGATACGTCGACCCCTATCCCAGGCTTCGTGGGGTTTCCGAATGGACCAGAAATTTGGGGCCCAACCCTGGGATATACGATGGGGGGGTGCCCATCCTCGATAGGGGTGCGTCCGAATAGCCCCCTTGGGGTGTATCCCAGGGTTTTTCCATTTTTCTGAGCGGCCAAACTTTTTGGGCGAAACTCGGGGATTGGGGGAGAAACATCGCCTGCGAGGTAACACTAATGGCTGGAAACACAACGTATAGAGTGGCTGGAATGAAACACAAGCGGATGGTTGCAAAGATGAGTTTCACTAGCCCGTTTCAAGTTCGCTGCGGCCCGACGAGAAAAACACAACCGGAAGCCCGGAGCATGCAACACAAGCGGGCCCGGCCCGCATTTTTGTGTACAGCTTCCCCGTATGCTCCAACTTCCGACTAGAATGATGCCGCGGTCCGGCACGCAGACGTCCGCGTCCGCGCCAGACGACGCCTCCGACGCCGCGCACGCCGCTGCCTCGTCGCCCCGCACGACGGCAGCTGCGGGGGCCAGGCGCGGGGCCTGCTCGCCCCCGACGGCGGCCTCCCCCCTCGAGGGCGCCGGCCCCGCGCTCACGAGGTCCTCGGGGTCCCACTCCTCCTCCTCCTCCTCCTCCTCCTCCTCCTCCTCCTCCTCCTCCTCTTCCTCCTCCTCCTCCTCCTCCTCCTCCTCTTCCTTCTGGAAAGGGTACCCATACAGTGTGGGCGCGGCCGCAAGAAGCCCAACCATGGGCGGTCGGAGGTCGATGTATCCCGCCACATGAGCACATCACCCCCATCGTTGCCCCTGGTCCCGCCCCTTCGGGCAGAGCCGAGTAACCTGCTCGAGAAGAGTAAGTACAGTGCGGGCGCGGCCGCGAGAAACCCTCGCGAGAAACTCAGCCCTGAACCCGCGCGCGAAGTGCACCTCAAGGGAACCCTGGAGCACCCTGAACGCACGAGCTTCTTCAACGGCTGCGGGAACTCACCGCGCATCGCGAGGAGCGAAGAAACCCAGGGTACCCTGACGAAAATCACATGGTTTCTTGATGCGCGCCCCCACTGTATGTCGACGCATGCACCTCAGCACTCCTAGAAGAACAAAAAACTGCATGAGCACCCCGACCGCAGCAACTCCTCCAGCGGCTGCGGAAGTCACCGCGCAGCACGAGGAGCGAAGAGACCCAGGATGCCCTGACGAAAAACATATGGCTTCTTGATGCACGCCCCCACTGTGCCCCAAACCCCCTCGCATCGTGGAACAGTCACGACGGGAGGCGCTTCGCTGCTTTCAGACTCCAGGGGGCCCTCACCTGGCCCCGGGACCGTCAGAAAACGGCTCGGGAAGGAAAACCGGTCCCTGGGAATGGGTCCGGAGCTCTGGGGTCGCGTCATGAGAAAATCATGACAAGGGGGGTCTGGGACCGCTGCTCCCGGGACCTCTTCTGGGGCGCATTTGGACCAGAACTTTTCGAGTCGATGGCGACGAGGGCCTCCCAGGAGGCCCCAAAAAAGAGCGAGCACAAGGCAAGGCCAGCGGGGGGGACTGGCTTAGGGGGGGACACATCGACCTGGAATCAGCGATGCATCGCCCATCGATCGGCGATGGGCCCACGAATCCGCAATTTCCTGGGCGGGGTAGGGCTATCGGGCCCCCATCGGCGATCCGTGGGCGATGGGGGGTCGATGCATCCCCCCCTACGGCAGGTTCGTGTCGTGGCGGCCCTGGCGTTGGTTCCTGACACCGCGGGGATCTTTCAATCTTGAACGATCGGCCGTTTCCGAAACGTCAGAACGTTCAACATCGACCAACTCTGCGTCGCCGGCAGCGTTCAAAACTTGAACGCCCACTCTGGGGTCGCCGCTGGTCGACACGCCGCGAACCTGCTGCATGCCTATTCTCCCCCCTATCGTGACCCGTGCCTCCGCCTCCTCCTCCTCCTCCCCCTCCTCCTCCTCCTCCTCCTCCTCCCCCTCCTCCTCCTCCTCCTCCTCCTCCTCCTCCTCCTCCTCCTCCGCCTCCTCCTCCTCCTCCTCCTCCTCCTCCTCCTCCTCCTCCTCCTCCTACTCCTCCCCCTCCTCCTCCCTCGGCGTCCTGGGCGCCGCTCCTCCACCGGCGCAGCAGCTCGTGGGCGCGCAGGTCCTCCCCGAGCTTGGCGTCGCCCTCGCGGAACCACTCGAGGCCGGGCGCGGCGGCCTCGGCCAGCAGGGGCCCGCCCACCTCGGGAGGGGGGCCAGGGCGGCGCGCACGCTCGCCATCGCTCGGACGTCCACTCCCTGTGTGCTTTTTGTCGGTTTCGCGCGTGGCTTGTTCGCCAAATGATCCTCGATGGTCCTCGCGTTTTCGCCAAATGATCCTCGATGGTCCTCGGATGCTCCTCGACGGTCCTCGCCGGAGGAAAAAGGCACACACGTCCGAGCGATGCCAAGCACGGAGAAACGGCCACGGGTCCCTGGATGCCCCTAGACGTTTCCGTATGGCCTTGATGTTCGTCTTCCTCCTCCACTTCCCACACGTTCCGTACCTTCTCGCTGTTCGTCTTCTCCCCTCCACTTCCCACATGTTCCACATCTTCTCGATGTTCGGCTCCCCCTCCACTTCCCACACGTTCCATATCTTCTCGATGTTCGGCTCCCCCTCCACTTCCCATATGTTCCATATCTTCTCGATGTTCGGCTCCCCCTCCACTTCCCACATGTTCCAGGTTCCCCGGGGAATCGACGACCATCTGTGTCTGTAAGTTTTTGGTTCCTCCTGGCACCTCCCCCCAGTACGCCGCCGCGTCGGCGCCGAGAGGTCGGTCGGGCCGCCGCGTCGGCCCCAGCTTCATCCAGGCCGCTGCGTCCGCGATCGCTTGGCTCCCCGAGGGCACCCAGGGGGAGTGGCCACGAGCGGCGAGCGTGCTCACCCCCCAGGCCCTCGCGGTCAGGGCTCCAGGGCGCGATCCCGTGGATACACGGACGCATGGAAACACTCCGCGCGGGGCAGCCGCGAAACCTCCCGAATGCGGCCCGAGCAGCTGGGGTCGGAGGATCCCGCCGCATCGCCAACACATCGCCGACGCATTGGCGATGCACCGGCGACGTCGGCGGCGCATCGGTGCCGTCGGCGTGGAGAACAACGGGCTACATGCATCGGCGAAGTGGCGCAGTCTTCCAGCCCCAATTGCTCGGACCCGCCTATGGCCAAGAAGAGATTGTGCTTGTATTGCCCCAACGTCCGTCACGGGGAGAGATGGCGGAGGCGTCTTGCCTGTGAGCACCACAGCACGCTTGTGAGCACCAAAGCATGCATGTCAGCACCACGGCATGTCTGTGAGCAACGCGGCATGCATGTGGGGGAACCAGCAACCCTCCCCGGACCCTCCCCTCACCGCGTGCTTTTGGTACCGCGAGGGGAAGGTGGGGGGGGGGGGGGCGACCCCCCACGGGTTCACCGAATAAGAAACACTCGAAGCAGTCAGAGCCCTCAGATGCAGGCGAAAACTCTGTCACTCCTTCCTGCCTGGAGAGGGCCCACATCGGTTGCTTCTGGGCCACCCAGACCCCCAGCCCCGCGCTATCTGTCCCATTCAGGGCGTCGGTGCGGGCCCCCCGAATTTGGGAAGGGGCTCGAAATACATCGGGAAGCAACTCCCACGCCAACCGCCCACTCGAGACTGCATGCTGCCTTGTTTCGGTCTTCGTCGGAAGACGAAGGCTGCGTCGCCGTGCTTGGGGCGCACCGGCGAGTGGGGATTGCTCCGCTGTCGGATGCAGAATCCACGGATCTCGGCTCTGAAAGGTGGCACGCACCGTCCGCTCATAACCGTGGACGGCCCCGCCGAGGCGCTTTCGTGGCTTCCCCTGTGCCTACACGTCGGTCGGAAGAAGTATGTAGAAACATGAAGCAGGAAGGCGGATAAAGTGGATTGGGTCCAGGCCCTCCCAGAGATTAACAAAACACAGCAAGAGCGTGCCGATTCTTTTTTAAGTAGGAAGGCGCTTGAAGTAGATCGGGATCTGGGAATCCAAAAATACCTACTTTCAACGACCCGCGTGTAAACCTTTCCGCTTCGCCAGCCCAAGCGTCGGGCGAGACCCTGGCCCTCGAGCGTTGGGAGGCAGAACCTGGGAGGCCTTCGTACGATCCGGGGCGACTGCGCACAGTTATGACGCCACTGCACTCTTCACGCAGTCGCGATCAATCCGCCACTCTTCCCATTAATGGGGACGACGTCAATACACACTGCCAGCTCATCGGATACGCGCGCGCGCGCCTCCCGCGCGCCAGGCGGTCATGATTATTCGGCTAGCGCAGCAAGCCACTGAGCCGGATTCGGGAGGATTGAGCCCAGTATCATGCGGGTTAAGCGGGATCAAGCCGGATCAAGCGGGATTGAACCAGATCAAGCGGGACTCAGCCAGATTGGGCCAGTTGTCGACCAGGGATACGCCAGCGTCGACTCTGAATGGAACCTCCCAGGGATTGCATCCTAGAGGGTATACACCAAGAGTCGTCTGGCCGGCCCAGGAGCTCGGGGGGTACAGACGCCCCAGCTGACCACCCAACATGTGGGACGCTCAAGCGCTTACGCAGCAAATCCCTTCGCCGAAATCCACTGCTCCCGGACCAGCGCGCCAAAATGGTGAGAAAACGCCCGTAGTGATTTTTCACGACGCCCAAAAAGTCACCCCCTTCGAGATCGACCTGTGGACCTCCCGGTGCGCGCTCTGATCCGAATGTTTGGGCGAACCCCACCGTGATGATGACGAGGCCCCCGACAGAGCCCCCAGAGAAGAGGAAATCAACTCATCCCTCTGTTCCCACGGCGCCTCGACGTTGAAATGAACCAAGCCCTCCAGCGGATTGAGCCTCAGAGCTCTTAGGACCAGGACCAGCGCTTCCAGCGTTCCTTCCGTCGCACAACGTGGTATGATGGCACTGATGCCCGAAAGCGGCCCTAGAGGCAGAACAGAAAATTAAGACAGTCGTGCCTCTTCTATTGCAACCCCCTCACACGACGACGACGACGATAGTGAGCCGATTTTCCACCACCCAGGGTAGGAGAGGGGGGAGGAGGAGGAGGAGGAGGAGGAGGAGGAGGAGGAGGAGGAGGAGGAGGAGGAGGAGGAGGAGGAGAGGAAGAAGACCTCCCCATCCCACCTTCTCCCCCGTCCTACCTGCGATTGAGGTGGAAAGTTGGCTCCTCAGACTAACGACGACGACGACGACGACGACGACGACGACGACGACGAGAAGCCCAAACGCCTCGACCCTCTGTCCTCCTCGACCCTCCGCGCAGGGGCCCCCGCGACACTCGGTCCTCCTCGGCGCTCACCGCCGGGGTGTTCCTCCATCCTCGACCCTCCTCGCCCTCGATCCTGCGTCTTCGATCGCCCTCGATCCTCCCGCGCGATGCTCGTCCGTCCTCCTCGAGCTTCGCCTCCTCCTGGCACGCCCGAAATGGGTACGGCGAGAATGGGTACGCTGCCCAACGGCACACGATGCCCAAACCCGACAGCGGCCGCTGTTGGGCAGGCAACCTGGTGTCTCAAACGGACAACGTCCGCGGCTACTTCGACAGCGAGCCCTGTTCGGAATAATGACCAGGAAATGCTGCCGGTCTTCGTACCCACTCTCTCCGTACACATTTCGATCGTGCCGATCCTCGATCAGTTGCACCGCGGCGCCAGCGGGACACCAGACCTGTGGCAACCCGCCCCCAAGGCGAAACTAGTCCAGCTGGTGGCGCTGTGCCCGTCCGGCGACGGCAGCCCGTGGCTGCGGCTGGTTTTGAAGTGCTGCCGCTAACTGGGCGAAGGAAGGGTACAGTCGGATCCAGGCCAGAAGAATCTCCCTCCTCTACATGAGACCCTCCGTCGGCCAAACAAAAACAGAACATCCAGAGGTACCCCCTCCAGGATGCACAAGAACATCCAACAAGCACGAAGAACACCAGGGTACCCTCCCGGAACCGACCTCGATCTTACACCTCGGTCCGACGGTATTCAGCGGGCCCCGGGACACACGAACATAAACAGACACAAATCCCAGGATCCCCCATAGTTCCCCACTTCACATGTTCTCCCCCCACTTCCCGTATTCCCACTTCCTCCCCCCACTTCCCACATGTTCCTTTCTGTTCCTGGGGGTCGCCGATTATTTGCGCCTCTATGTTTCTTCCCCTCCTGAGGTATGTATTACGCACGATGACATAGCGACCTCACCCGGTGGCTTGCGCGGGCGGCCAGCGCAGCACGGCACGGTGGAAAGGAAGCTGTTTGATGGCCTTCTTGCGCGGGCAGCTCGCGCGCGAAGGTAGAGACAACCGAACCCGCTGTTCTCAAGAAGGTTCCGGAACCGAACCGAACCGGCCGAACCGAACCGGGCTGAACCGAACCAGCGCGAGCCGGCTTTTTTCTCAACGCGGCCCGAAGCGAACTGGAGTGGTCGCTTATGCGGCTCGAACCAAGCCGAACCGACCTGTTCTGCGTCGCTCAGCTGATAAGCCCCGACTTGCTCGGCAGACGTGACCAGTCCAATATTGGACGCCCGAGTTATCCGGGGTAACTCGGGTCCGGGGTAAGTCGGGTTCGGATTCCCGAAAAACGAACCCGAGTCAGCCCTGACCCGAGCTACCCCTGATGATGTGGGGCTCTGGACGCCCGAATTGTCCGGGGTAACTCGGGCCCGGGGTAACTCGGGCTCGGACTCCCGAAAAACGAACCCGAGTTAGAGCCCTGACCCGAGCTACCCCTGATGATGGTGGGCTGCGGCCCTCGCCGCAGCGCGGCGATACGTCCTCCTCGATCCTCCCCACGGGAGGCCGAGCGACCGCGGCGGGCTGTGTCCTCGCCGCCGCGCGCGGGGAACGTCGCCGCGGCCAGGCCCGGCGCCGCGCGCGGCGGCTGCATGGGCGCGGCGCCCCAGGGCGATCACGCCACGGTCCCCGCTGGAGCGGGAGCGGCTGCCGAGGGGGTCGGGGTCGGGTAAGTACACACAAAATAAAATAATCCCCCATGTTTTCCCGTATTTTCGGGGTTTCTGTCTTCCCCACCACTTCCCATATGTTCCCATATTCTCTTGGGAATCGACGATTACTTGTGTCCGTGTGATTCTTTCCCTCCTGACAGGAGGGGGGCGTCCAAAAGGGGATTTGGCAAAGCACGGCCCGAGGCGTGTGCGCGGACGGGGGGAGCGGGGCCAGGGGGCGTGAGAAGCGAGTGAAGCCCGGGAGATCTCGTGGCCGGCCCTGGCCATAAGGTCCACCCCAAACCCCTGGTCAGCACCCACCTCTCGGACGCCCCCGAGAGCCCAAGAACCTAGACCCACGAAGAATCGAGACGAAGCCGGCAACAACGTTCCAAGAACCGCGTCAAAACACACTCGACGCTCGACCCAAGAAGCCTGGACACTCGAACAAGCACGACGACCACAACTCCAACGACGACGGCAACGACGACGGTGGCGACGACGACGACGACGACGACGACGACGACGACGACGACGACGGCCGAGACGGCGGCGGCGACGACGGAGGCGGCGGTGGTGGCGGCGACTACGACGACGGCCGCGGCCGCGGCGGCGGCGACGACAATGACGACGGCGGAGGCGGAGGCGGCGACGACAACAACCGCGGCCATGGCCACGAGGACGTCGACGACGACCACAACGACGACCACGACGACGACGACGAGACGACGACGACGACGACGAAAACGCCTACGAGGACGACGACGACGACGACGACGACGACGACGACGACGACGACGACGACAACGAACGGCTGCGGCGGCGGCGGTGGAGGCAACAACGGACGCGGTGACGGGAGCGCCTTCCGCGGGGGTCCGCCGGGCTGCCGCCCGCACCAGCCCGCGAGCCACTTGCCAGCCGGGCCGTCCAGGCAGTTCCTGGGGGGGAGGGTGTGGACCTCCTCGGCAGGGTGCTCTCTGCTGCTCCTCCTCCTCCTCCTCCTCCGCCTCCTCCTCCTCCTTATCCTCCTCCGCCTCCTCCTCCTCTTCCTCCTCCTCTTCCTCCTCTCCACTCTTTCTCCTTATAAATAACTTCCCCCTGTCGCACCCCGAGGCGACTTTTAGGGCGGGCCGGGCGTTTCGCCTGAGAGGTCCTCACCACTTATGACCCTGAAGCTTTAAGCATGGCAACAGTTTCATAGATGGAGGGCTGGTCGTTTTCAAAATGTGGCTCAACCCTTAGCGCCGCGCACATTCGATATAAAAAACCAGTTTCACGGATTCCCATGATCGACGTACCAGAAATGGTGTTTTGGAAGGAGTCACGATCATGAGGACGCAACAGTTGCGATGATTCGCGGTGGTGAAGTCCCAGGAATGGCGTTCTGGCACGATTGAGGATCTTCAAGACGCAACAGTCCAGTTTACCCGTGGCGTTGAATACCGAGAAGAATGTGTTGTAATGTTTCAGGGTCTCCAAACGGTTGGATTCCAACGAGGCAGGTCCCTCTGTGGAAATGAATCGTTGTAGGGGCGTATGAAGAAGGAGCTTGGGGGGAGTGATTATTCCAACATCGTTGGTGACTCTCGGGTTTACACTGCTCCTCCTCCTCCGCCTCCTCCTCCCCCTCACCCTCCCCCTCCTCCTCCTCCTCCTCCTCCTCCTCCTCCTCCTCCTCCTCGTCATCCTCCGCCTCCCCTCGGCCTCGACCGTCGTCCTGCTGCTGCTCCCCTCCTGGTGCCATCCTCCTCCTACCTCTCCTCCCCTCCCCTCCCTCCATCACTCCCACTCCTCCTCCTCCTCCTCCTCCTCCTCCTCCTCCTCCTCCTCCTTCTTTTCCTCCTCCTCATCCTTTTCCTTCTCCTCCTCCTCCTCCTCCTCCTCCTCCTCCTCCTCCTCCTCCCCCTCCTCCTCCCTGTCGTGTTCCTTCCCCTCCTCCTCCTCCTCCTCCTCCTCCTCCTCCTCCTCCTCCTCCCGCACTCCCTCCCTCCTGCTGCCACTCATCTTCCCCCTCGAAAGGGGGGAAGGGAAGGTGCAAGTGGGGTAGAAGCAGGAGAAGCAGGAGGAAGAGGAGGATGATGATTGAAGGAGATGGGGAGGGAGGACGGGGAGGAGACGGCCCTCGTCATTCGCTCTCCTCGTTGCTTTTTGATTATCAGTGTCCTGCATCTTGGCATCCCTGTCAGCCCGTTTAACCTTCTTATCCACCTCCTACTCCTCCTCGTTATGCTCATGCGTATCGGTCTCGTCGCCTGCGCTGTCGTTATTGTCGCCTTCGAGATCCTCATTATCCAACTATCATCCTCGTCCTCGTTCTCCTCTTCCGTCACCACCACCACCTCCATCCCTCCTCCCCCATCCCCCTCCTCGTCCTCCTCAAACTAATCTAGACCATCATCATCATCAGCAACATCAGCATCAGCATCATGATCAGAAGCAGCATCAACATTATCGTCCGCATCAGCATCAGCATAAGCATCAGCATCATCATCATCACCAGCAGCATCAGCACCAGCATCAGCACCAACATCCTCGTCATCATCATGTTCACAACCAAGACCATCAGCACCAGCACCACCATCAGCAGCATCATCACCAGCATCAGCAGCATCGTCATCATCAATACCACCACCACCATCACCATCACCATCACCATGACCATCATCATCAGCATCATCATCATCACCAACATCGTCACCACCACAAACACAATCACCATAACCATCACCATCGCCATCATCATCACCATCACCATCATTATCATCACCATCACCATCACAACCATCACCATCATCATCGTCATCATAATCATCAGCATCGTCACAATCGTCAGCATCATCAGCATCATCATCATCATTAACACCATCACCAGCAGCATCAGCACCAGCATCAGCACCATCATCATCGACAAGATCAATAGCATCATCATTACTATCTGCATCCGCGTCATCAGCATCGTCATCAGCACCATCATGATAATCATCAGCAGCACCATCGTCATTATCGTCATCATAGCCATAAGCCTCATCGTGAGCATCAGCAGCATCAGCATGATCATAAGCATCCTCAACATCACAATCATCGTCATCCTCATCACCACCGTCATCATCATCATCATCATCATCATCATCAACATCACCAGTATCACCACCATAATCGTCTCATCATCATCAACATCAGCAGCATCATCAGCAGCCTCATCAGCATCGTAGTCGTCAGCGGTATAATCACCATCAGCATCATGATTAGCATCATCATTACCACCTTCATCATCAGCAGCAACATCATCGTTATCATCATCGTTATACTCATCATCATCACCATCATCCACATCATCATCGTTATCATCATCATCGTCGTCGTCATGACCATCCTCATCATCGTCGTCATCATCAGAATCAACATCATCACCACCAAAATCATCATCGTCATCATCAGCATCAGCACCAACGTCATCGTCAGCATCATCAGCAACATCATTATCATCAGCAGCAGCAGCATCATCATCATCATCATCATCATCATCCCCATCATCATCCTCATCCTCAGCATCATCATCGCCATCATCATCATCGTCATCGAGTTCAACATCACCATCATCATCATCGCAACCAGCATCATCAATTTCATCATCATCATCATCATCATCATCATCAGCATCAGCGTCATCATCATCATCATCATCATCAGCATCAACATCATCAACACCATCACTATCATCATCCCACCTCCACTCCCGTCTTTCCTCCCCCCACCTCAACATTCCCCCCTCTTTCCTCCCTGTACTCGCCCAAGGGGCATAACGACCGAACGCAGGAGGGGATCGCCGACTTTCTGTTTCGTGAGTGAGGCCCCTCCCCCCGCACCCCCTGGGGCCAATCCCTTCACAATCGCCCCCCAGGTCTGTTTTGTTCGAGCACCGTAGTGGGAGGGGGAGGGGCCTAGCCGGAATCAGGGGGCATCCAGTGTATCAGGGAGATGATTGCGCATGCAACTTCGCTGCAGAATTACGCACGCGACTCTCTGGATGCTCGTGCTCGTGACCACCAGCAGGCGAAACCGAGTCGTGATCGTCATCATCACAAGCACCATCACCATCACCATCGCCATCACCAACCATCACATCACCATCACCATCGTCATCACCATCACCATCCCCATCACCATCTCAATCCCCATCCCCATCACCATCAGCATCACCACCACCACCACCACCACCACCATCATCATCATCATCATCATCATCATCATCATCAGAATCATCATCATCATCGTCATCACCATCATCATCATCCTGATCAGCACCATCACCATCATCATCATAATCATAATGGTCATAATCGTCATCGTCATCATGATGATGATCATCATCATCATCATCAGCAGCAGCATCGTCATCAGTTCCATTACCATCGCCATCACCGTCCCCATCATCATCACCATCAGCATCATCATCTACATCTCCATGACAATCACCATGACCATCACCATCACCATCACCATCATTAGGACCATTATCGGGATCAGCATCATCATCATCATCGTCATCATCATCATCATCATCATCATCATCATCATCATCACCATCACCATCACCATCACCATCACCATCACCATCACCGACATCATCACTGTCATCGTCGCCATCACCATCACCATCATCACCATCATCACCGTCATCACAAGCAATCCCATTATCACAATCATCATAATCATCGTCATCATCATCACAACCATCATCATCATCATCATCAGCAGCATCATCACCATCGTCATCATGATCAGCATCTTCATTATCACCATCACCAGCATCATCATCAACATCATCATCAGCAGCAGTATTGTCATCGTCCTCACCCTCCCCCCCCCTTCATGCTCGCTGGAATCAGTGCTGAGCCACTTCAGACCCCCAGCAGCATGCTCCAACGCCGTCGTGTTTATGGTCCGGAACACTGAGGCGCCCCTGCGATAGGAACTCCAGAACATCAGGTTGCGAAGGGAAGGGGGCCTCACATCTGAAAGGCCTCCCTACCAGACCACTCCAACTCAACCCGAAGATCCGAATTTCGGGTCGGGGGGGAGGGGATCCCAGATATGTTTTTCCAATGTTCCCTGACGCCACCCCCACTAGGAATGGAGGGCGAATTGGGGCCTTCTGGTCGGGTTGCAGTGGTTTAGTGGGTGGTGACAGAGGGTGTCGGCATCGTCGGTCGATGCATCGGAGACGCTGGCGTGGAGAAAATCGGGCTTCACGTCGAGCTGCATCGCCGATGCATCGGCGACGCGAAGCGATCCTCCGACCACAACTGCTGCGATCCCATCTGAGAGGCCTGGACTGTTGAGGGGGGGCGTTTGTCACCTGGCTCCGTGCTTCGCGCTTCGCGGCGCGCGGTGATCGTCGTGAAACGCGGGTCCGCCGAGGACGGACAAGGGGAATCGGCCCCGCGTGGCTCCCGAGCCAAGGTCAGCCAAAGGGGACTGGCGGACCCCGTTAGCGCTGATGCCCGCTAGGTGATCCCCGAGTGTCGTGCCATCGAGCCGTCCCGGTGCAGGAGGGAGCCTCGACGTTCGAGGACCCGACGCAGGAGGATGGGCGGACAGAAAGGCATCGATACCGCTCCGCCCTGCGCCCTGGACCTCTCCAGGGGTACGTTCTGGCCCTGAGCCCGCGGCGAATCCAGCCGTGGCGACGGGGGAAGGGTAGCCAGCGACATCCGCATCCTGCCCTCCTCCAGCGACGACGGTGACGACGACGACGACGACGACGACGACGACGACGGTGACGACGACGACGGCGACGACGACGACGACGACGAGGAGGAGAATCGGAAACCCATCCGGTCAAGGCCGCCACGCACGAAGCGCGGCCACCTCCGCGCCCCCTGCGGGGGGGGCCTCTCATGGGACTGCTCGGCACGGGCGGCCCTCCCAGGCTGCTCCGAGGAGGGGAACGCTGCGGGGTGGGCGCGGGCCAGCGTGTTGGCCCTCCGGGGCTCCTCTCCACGTCCAGGCTGGCCACGTGCACGCCTCGCTGGGAGAGTCCCCGCCTGGGTGGTCACGGCCTCTGAGATCGTGGCAACGCTTGCGTTTTCACACCCGGCGTTCTCGCCCGGGCTCGGGCCCCTGGGACCACCTCGGCTCGATCCAGCTCGGAGGGTGCCTCAGAAGGATGGGGCCTGGGGCTGCGGTCGCGATGTTTCGCGAGGCTGCACTTTTTGTGTTCGGAACGTCGGATCTCAGGGGCTGTGGTCACCCCCTCTCCTCCCCCCTTCTGGTGTTCCCTCCATCACAGCAGGAACACCCCCCTGCCCATGCGGGAGCGGGGAGGGGAAGGAAACAGGGAGGAGGAAGACAATGAACCACAGAACCGAACCGCGAACCGCAGAACCGAACCGACCGAAGGAGAACCGACGGAACCGGAACCCGTCAGAAACCCGACGTGAACCGAAACCAAATCGAACCGGAGGCGGTGGAACCGAACGGGGCCCGAACCGGGAACCGAACCGGGAACCGGTCGTGGAGGTGGACCCTTGGGAACTGCCCGATGCGAGCGCCCACTCTTGCGCTAGGTCCATCCCACCCGCTCCCAACTCCTCCCCTGCGCCCCCGAGTTCCCTCGTCCTGTTTTGCTGCTTGTCCAGGGCCGAACTGGGGACGGAAGGGCGGCGGAAAAGCTCAAATCGCATTTTTGGACGGTTCGAAAATTCGTTTGTCTCCAGGTGGTTCTCGGAGCCTCCAAGGCTGCTCTGGGGATGGCAGGGTGGCGGAAAAGCCCAAATTGCATTTTTGGACGGATCGAAAATGCGTTTTGGGCCTCCAAGTGGTTTTCGGAGCCTCCAAGGCTGCACTGGGAACCGCCTCAAACAGCTCCGAAATTGGAACCGTATTGAACCGAACCAATTTCCCCCGAACCGAAACGAACCGAACGAAACCGGGGACACGCTGGGAGGAGGAGGAGGAGGAGGAGGAGGAGGAGGAGGAGGTGGGGGGTGGAGGAGGAGGAGGAGGAGGAGGAGGAGGAAGAGGAGGAGGAAATGGAAGAGGAGGAGAGGATCTGGGGTAACGGGTCCTTGACAGGCAGAGGCGTGAGCCCGATCCATTTGGGGACGAGGTCTGACTTGTTGTGTTCTGTCTTGCTGCATGCGAATTGGGAGGCCCGCTCAGCTGGTGCTGTACTCCTCCTCCTCCTCCTCCCCCTCCTCCTCCTCCTCCTCCTCTTCCTCCTCCTCGTCCTCCACTCTCTCCCCCCCCTCCTCCCTCCCTCCTCCTCCCCTCCTCCACCCCCTCGACGGACCCGACGCAGGAGGATGGGCGGACAAAAAGGCATCGATACCATACGCTCTGACCTCTCCAGGGGTGCGTTCTGGCCCAGAGCCCGAGGCGAATCCAACCGTGGCGACGGGCAAAGGGTAACCAGTGGCATCAGCATCCTGCCCTCCTCTAAGGACGACGACGACGACGACGAGAATCTGAAACCCGTCTGGTCGAGGCCACGACGCGCGAAGCGCGGAAATCTCCGCGCCCCCTCTTCTCTGACTGCTCGGCCGGGCTCGAGCTGCTGTGTGGTTCGTGATCGTTGTGTTGTTTGTTGACCTTCGTTTTTCGGGAACGGCCAAGAGAGGGGGGTGTCCAAGAGGGGGGGGTGCAAATCATGACCGGCGGCATGTGCGCGGCCCAGCGGGGGGGCCAGGGACGTAATGAAATAAGAAGAGGCGCCATGAAATCTGGGGAATATCATGGCCCCCGCCATGATATCCACCCCCCCTAGTCATCACCCCCCTCTTTTCCGCCCCCGAGTTTTGTCTTTGCCGCGAAATGAGATAGCCAAAGCACCGTTCGGCTCGAGCCCCGCTGCGCGGCGCAGGCGGCCCTCCCAGGCTGCTCCGAGGAGGGGAGGGCGCCGAGGAGGAGGGCCGGGGATGGAGGGCGGGGCGAGCGAGCGCGCACCGGGCACGGCCAAATGGGGGGAGGAGGTGGGAGGCCGAGGAGGAGGGGTGGGGGATGGAGGGAGGGACGAGCGAGCAAGAGGACTTCTCGGGCGTTGCCAGGGGGGGGGAGGAGGAGGACGCCGAGGACTCGGATGAGAGTCGGGGACGGAGGGAGGGCGAACGAGCGCGCCTCGGGCAGGGCCAGGGGGGGGGGTGGGGCACCGCAGTGTGGCGCAGCCCGCAGGGTGCCTGCGGTCGTCGCGGCGTCCAGGATCGCCGACACTCCTGCGAGCCAACAGCCGCTCCGCCCTCCCTCGAGCGTCGCTTAACCGATCCCCATCCCCGCTGGCGTGGCCTGGGCCGCACTGGCCGACTTGCCTCCATGTAGATGGGAATGCAGGCGGTCCCCTTCAGGCTCCGAGGGGCCTGTCCCCAGCTGGGTGGTGCTGGCAGGGCTGCGACCCCTACGACAGGACGATCTCTGGACGGGGCCCTGGGGCTTACACCAGCTCCTTCGAACAGGGGTTCGAAGCTGGATTCAGGCACAAGTGCGCTCACGGAGCCCTGGGCCGGCCTTCTCTGATGATCGTGGATTGCCCTGCTCCCCCCACAGAAGAACAACCAGCATCATGAGCATGCACTCTCGAAGGTCCGTGCGGATCTCTTGGGTCAACGCAAGACGCCCTCCACACAAGCCCTCCACGGGGGGCCGCGCAGGAGGCACCGCCAAGTGGAGTGGGGAAGGGGGGGCAGCGCCGACCCACGATATTCGCGCGGACATGTGACAATTTGAGGTGGTGCCATGCGTGGCATCCGTTTCTGCTCCTTATCCTCGTCCTTCTCCTCCTCATCATCGTCCTCCGAATGATTATCCTCCTCATACTCCGCCTCCATCTCATTGTGATGCGCCTCCTCCTCCTCCTCCTCATCCTCGTGATCCTCCTCCTCCTCGTCATGATCAAACTCCTCCTCATCATCACCACCATCATCACCACCACCATCATCATCATCATCAGCAGCAGCATCACCACAATACCAACATCAGCATCAGCATCGTCAGCATCAGCATCAGCATCGTCAGCATCAGCATCAGCATCGTCAGCATCAGCATCAGCATCAGCATCAGCATCATCACCACCACCACCATCACCACCACCACCACCACCACAACCACCACCACCATCATCATCATCATCATCATCAGCATCAGCATCAGCATCAGCATCAGCATCAGCATCATCATCATCAGCATCATCATCATCATCATCATCATCATCATCATCATCATCATCATCATCATCATCATCATCATCATCATTAGCAGCTGCATCGTCTGCATCATCCATCTCATCCTCCTCCTCCGCCGCCGCACGATCCTCCTTCTCCTCGTGATCATCCTCCTCCTCCACCTCCTCCTCCTCCTTCGCCTCCTCCTCCTCCTCCTGTCCTCCCGTTGTCCACCTTCCTCCTTTTCCGCCCACAACACGCATGGCAGGCGGCAGGCCCCTGCCGCGACTGCGTGGGCTCCCACGGCGCGAGCCGCCCACGGCGCGAGCCGCCTATCATCATGCGAGCGGTTGCTACAGGCCATGCCGGGGCACTTTGCGAGTGGGGCGCGGCCAGCAAAGGCGGCCAAGGATGGGCCGAAGGATAACCCTGGAAAGTCGCTCATCCTGACTGCGCGGGCTGACTTTACTAAGCGCTGGACTCACCAGGCTTCCTCACAGTACCCCAGCGCTGTGCAGAGCCAGGCCGCGAGACCGACGCAAAGATCACGAATCCGTGCCCTGAGCAGCGTTGCCAGCCTGCCAGCTCCCAAACGGCCTTCACTGCCCCTCCCCCGGCGGGTGGCGCAGCAAACCCGCCTACGCCACCGCCAGGGAGAGCGATGCCCAAATTCCCTCACAAATTCCCTCACCGGATTGGGCAGGAGGACGAAGGAAAGCTGAGCAGCTCCACGGGAGGAGAAGAGGAGAGGAGAGGAGGCCCGCGGCTCGCTGGGGTAGAGGACGACGCGCAACCAATCGGCCAGAGCAAGCGGTCACGATGTTGCAACGTGGGCACCTGCAAACTGGCAGCGCGAGGCACCAGGACGCCAGGAATCGCGCAAGGACCAACCTGCAGTAGGCGAGACGATGCGCGAAACAATGGCCTGTGCAGGAGAAGCAGAGGGTGCGTCTCCCCCCATCGAGCCCCGGCGGGCGAAGACGGGAAGCCTCTTGCGCCGAGAGAGGGGCGGGCCCACATCGGGACCGCCCCCGATCGGACAGCAGATAGTGATGCGGGAGAGGCTTCGCCTGAGCGTGGCCCCGTAGGGTGCCCCCTACCTGCCATCGCTTGGACGTCCATTCCCTGTGTTTTGTTCGGCTTCGTGCGTGGCTTTTTCGCCAAGTGGTCAAGGATGCTCCTCGATGGTCCTGGCCGAAGGAAAAATGCACACGTCCGAGCGATGCCAAGCCTAATTAGGCGAGCGACGAGTAGCAACGGGTTTTGCGCGGGAAGACTCAGCGACCTTATGCGGCGGCCTATGCGGGCCGCCAGCGTGGAACACCCCGTGGCAAAAAAAGGGCGCGTGCGCGCCTCCTCGCGCGGGAAGCTCACGCGCTAGTGCCCGCGCAGTCGGCCCCGCGTCCTCCCGTCGCCCATGTGTGGCACAGACCCTGCAGCCGATGTTTCGGGGCAGCTCCCGTGCCAGAGCATGCTGGGCAGAACACGCATTTGCTAAGAACATGCTGGGCAGAGCATGTCTTGGGCAAGTGGTGATCCGGGAGAACTGGGGAAATGTCGCCCTGGACTGGGAAGAGGCCTGGTGCACAGACGGGGGGCGCGAATCGGAACCAGGGAGACGCGCACGGCTGCAATCACGTGTGGAGCCTCCATCGGGGATGGACAGACCCCCCTTTAGTAAAACGTGGTTTAGTGAAAACGACCTGAGGCCCAAACCTGGCGGGCGCAAGCCTGGAAAATAACGGCCGCGGCGCCCTCTCGAGAGCCGAACACGGACAATTCACTAATCGACGTGTCACTGTTGGGGGTTCTGTCCGCCCCCGACTCCAGAGGACACCTGCTGGATCCGCACATCCGTGGAGGGCCCTCGAGCCCTCCACACCCAGGGGCCGAGCGCCGGAGAGCCGTGCGGCCGCACGTGCCTCCGCCTTCTTCGCCCCGGCGGGCCGCGTCGGATGCGCACCCGGCCTGCTGAAGCCGTCGCTGCCCTGCCTTCCCCGGGGGCTCCGACGGGGGCGGGGGACATCGAGCTTGGATGGGCGATGCCTCGCCGATGGGCCCCCCCGTGTCGGTGACCCTGGGATCATTGCCCGCCTCCCCCCGCCGGGCCCACGTTCTGCTCAAATCTGCGCGCCCCGAGGATATACACACCACCACCACCTCCATTCCCCCTCCCTGCTCCACACTCCGCTTCCTCTCCCCTCTTCTGGGAGAAGGAGGGGATGAGGTAGGTGGTGGTGGTGGTGGTGAATATTTCTGGGCCCCGTGAAATCGCAAATCGGACCCCGGACGCCTCCCAGGGTCCATCCTGACCAATTTCTCTTTGGACGCCCGAAATGGGTACCGAAAGAATGGGTACAATGCCCAACAACAAATGTTGTCCCAAACCAGCAGCAGCCGCTGTTTGGCAGGCGGCCTTCTGACTCGAATTGACACAGGCCGCGGCGGCGCGGACAGCGAGTCCTGTTCAAAATAAACAGGAACTGCTGTTGGGCATTGTACCCATTCTTTCGGTACCCATGTCGGGCGTCCAGATTCTCCAGGCGGATCCAGCGGTGGCGATGACATGCCCCCCGGGGGGCCCAAAACGAGACAAAAAACGACAGGGAGGGCCGCCGTTGTCTCGACGGGCCTTCCGCCGACACCAGGATCGCCCCTCCGGCGTTCGCGGCATCGAGGCTCGAGGTTTCGAGTATTTGCTGACCTGTTTTTTCAAAACTGGGCTTTTCAAACGGGAGCGCAAATTCTCGAACGCATGGGAAATTCGCACTTGCGCGCTGTGAGAAGCGTTGGAACGCACTGGAAAGTCGCTGCAAACACGCTCCTGAAGGGCCTCGGACAACCTGGTTGCCCGAGGCCCTTCAGGAGCGTGCTTGAACAGCCTCTCGGCCCGTCGCTCCGAGAGCACTTTGGGAGCCCAAGCCAGCGCGGCGACCGACCGCGCGGGGACCTCGAGATCCCGAGAGACCGCACCGCACGGTCCGCCACCGCACGGCCTTGGAACCCTGGAGGCCCCGGTCGCCCGAGACATCCTCGGAGAACGACCCGTGCCCCCCAACCGGGCGGTGACCCCGAGTCCCCACTGCCTCACCACACGGTTCGGGGGCTGCTAAAGGTGCACGTCGGTCGGAAGAGAAGTAGGTAGAAACATGAAGTAGGAAGGCGGATGTAGTGGATTGGGTCCAGGCCCCCCCACAGGGAACAACAGAACACAGCAAAAGCGTGTCGATTCTTGAAGCAGGAAGGCGCTTGAAGTAGACTGGGATCTGGGGATCCAGAAATACCTACGTTCAACGACCGGCGCGTACCCCTGGCCCAAGGTGCCCCCCAGCTCCTCAGTTCTGCAGCCCCGATAGGGCCCTCTGTGACCCTCGTGAGGGGCCGGGGGTCCCCCTGGGAAAAATGCTGGGGGCGCCTTGGGCCAGGGCCAGGGGCGCTTCTGGCATTAAGTCGGGCGTGTCCCCTACAGGGGGAGTTTGGACGAAAAACATATGCAAACTAATACACAAAAGATGCCCAAACATACTCAAAAAATAGTCCCCAGACTATTGTTATACTATTTGTTGATATTCCTCCTGTAGAGGGACAGGCCCGACTTAATTCTAGCAACACCCGAACTCGGCGGCGAGCGAGAGAGGGGAGTCAAAAGGAAAAGACCTCCTCAGAAGGCGGCGGGACTTCTGAGAAACCTCGCGCCCTCTGAAAGTTTGCTGTGTCTTCGGGGAATGCTTAGGGAACTTCTCAGGAGGCTTGGGGACTTCCGAGCCTTCTGAGAAGGCCCGCCCCTTCGCACTTCCCCCCGGGCTCGCCGCCGATTATCGTCCATCTTGCAGGGAGCCCTGAGACTCGGGTCTCGGATTGGCTCGACAAGGCCGTCAGGAAAATGACGAGATCCGAGCTGAAATTGAATGGGAACTCCCGCTGCAAGCATCCTACGAAGACTGGACCTCGCAAGCCCGAGACGAGCCCGCAAAAAACGTCAGCAAACCAGAGGCCAACTCGAGACCTGTGTTTCCCCGATGTTCTTTTGTGGTTGCGCTCCGAGGCTCCACTCTGGAGCAGGAATCGCAGCAGCAAGACTTCCTCGACTGAGGGGCGCTTGCTGCATCATGACGTCCCGGGTGAGTATCGGGTCGGGCGAAAGGGGAGGATAGCATAGGGGGGGGTTGAGAATCAGCTCACGTAGCTGATTGTCCCGGCGCCTCCCGGCGCCGGAGGCGGCTATGTATCGAGGAATGGGCTCCTCGGTGAGGCCGAAACCAGCTGCATGCAGCAAATTTCGTAACCCCCCCTTTCCCAATCCCCCCATTTCGTCCGGCCCGAGAGTAAGCCGACAAGGGAGGCGGACATCGCCGTCGAAAAGAACGGAACAAACATCCTGCGCGAGCGGACGAGCGGCTTGAGCTACCTCACTCGCACGAACTGTCTGACCTATACAAAAAACGGCTGCCTCGCTCACTCCGCCCCGATGGTGCTGCGGAAGTGGGGGCGCGCCTGGATGGCGGCGAGGTAGCGCTGGATGGCTGGGTAGCCAGAGAACTTCTCCCGAAAGAAAGCCTGGGTGTAGTGGAGGTACGCGCCGACGGCGGCGTCCGCGACGCTGAACTCGCGGCCGAGCAGGAACGGCTGCTTGGCCAGGATCTGCTCTACGCCGGCGCACATGGCGGCGGGCGCCCGCCGCGTCCCCTCCACGGCCGGCCAGTAGCTCGCATTGGCCCAGAGGACCCACTTGGTGCCCGCCACGCGCTTCTCGGCGGTGTCCGCGCCCCCGTAGGCGTCCGCGAGGTAGAGCAGCAGCGCACCGGACTCGAAGATGGGCGTGTCGTCCGCGGCCTTGCCTGCGGGCAGCTTGCCAAACGGATGCACCTGCAGGTACTCCGCGGAGGTGCGGTCGCCGACGTCCTGCAACACCATGTTGGCGTTCACCTCCTTCGCGAACCACTCGACGATCTGCGCGCGGCTTCCGGGCGCGGTGAACAGCGTCATCGGACCAGCGTCTGCCATGATCGGGGCGAGCGACGGCGCTGATTGTGGCTGGAATGCCGGCCTTGCCCTCGAGCTGCTGCTGCTGCTGCTGCTGCTGCTGCTGCTGCTGCTGCTTCTGCTGCTGCTGCTGCTGCTGCTGCTGCTGCTGCTGCTGCTGCTGCTGCTGCTGCTTGAGCCAAAATGGCTACGGACTACGTTTCCCCGAATCTTGGTCAACGTCAATTCGCGGATAATACCCGCCAATCGGCGACGGCTGGGCTGCACCATGGCCAGGAGACCGGCGTCGGCAAGATCCCGCGGCATCTTCGACACGGTCACCGTGCACCTTCCCCCGAGTCACCTCCTCGCCCTTTCGCCGCCCCTCTGGACCAGGGCAGCTCTGGCCCAGGCTGCAAGGCAAAAAAAAACCGAAGGCGCCAAAACACTTCGACGTTGGATCCCCGAAGCCTTGAAAAACATCGATACTCGGACGGCGACGACCACGACGAAGACGACGAGGGAAGATCAGCACGGCCAGGTCGACGACGAGGGCGAAGCAAGACCGGCACGGCCTCTGGTGTGACGACGACCACCACCACCACCACGACTACGACAACGACGACGTCGACATCCACGACGACGACGACGACGACGACGCCGTAGACGACGTCGACGTAGACGTCGCGATGGTGACGGTGACGACGACGACGCCGCCGCCGCCAACGCCGCGACGACGACGACGATGCCGACGCCGACGCCGACGCCGACGCCGACGCCGACGCCGACGACGACGACGACGCCGACGACGACGGGGACGACGAAGCCGACAACGCCGACGCCGACGACGACCACGACGACGACGACGACGACGACGACGACGACGACGACGACTACGAGGACGACGAAACAACATCGGAAAGATTCCTGCGCGGCCCAGCTGGTTGCCGGCCAGGTGGAACGACGCCTCCTCGGCGCAACGCAGCCGCCCGGGGGCCGTGAGTGCGGCGCACACCACCTACGGCCATGGAGAAGCGGGACGATCACGGATCGACGATCGTCGACGACTGGATCGACGACAACGACGATCGGGACATGATCGAGGGCGATGGCGACGCCGATCGAAGACGATCGACGATCGTAGACGATTGATGATCGACGACGACGACTATCGGGACCGGAACGAAAGCGATGACGACGGGATCGACGGTCGACGGCAAACGACCATCGACGATCGACGACGACGATCGGGATAGAAGCGAAGAAGATTCACGACCGACGACGATGACGACGACGAGGGCAGGATCGAGGGTGATGAAAATGACGATCGAGGGACAGGGACAAAGACGACGACGACGACGACAATCGAAGATCGAAGACTGGCGGTCCTTTGACGTGCATTTCGGTGCTCTTTTGCCCCTCTGGGGGTCTCTGGAGGCTAGCATGGATACTAACTGCACTGGTCCATGAGGTGGGGGGGAACAGGCTGGACCACCTGACGCATTCGAGTTGGCTCGCTTGGTCCCCTCACACTCCCACTCCTCCTCGTGTTTTTCCTCCTCCTCCTCCTGTTCCTCCTTTTTCTCTTCTTCCTGTTCCTTTTGTCCACCTCCTTCCCCTCCTGTTTGTTATGTGTTTTGTCTTTCTCTCTCTCTCTCTCTCTATCTCTCGCTCTCCCTCTCATGACTTGTTTGTTTTTCTCTCTCTCTTTCTCGCAATATCTTTCTCTCCATGTATATACATGCATATGCCTCTTTCTCCCTCTCTCTCTCTCTCTCTTTCTCTTTCTACGTGCTCCCCTCTCTCTCTTTCTCTTTCTCTCCCTCTCTCTTTCTCTTTCTCTCCCTCTCACTCTCTCTCTCTCTATATCCGTCTCCCTCTCCCTCTCCCTCTCTCTTCCTCTTTCTCTTTCTCTGTGCCTCCATCTCTCTCTCTCTATTTTCTGTATGTGTGTTGATGTATGTGTCTCTCTCCCTCTCCCCCTCCCTCTCGTCTCTCCCTTTTTGTTTTCTTCTATCTCTCTCTCTCTCTCGCTCTCTCTCTCTCTCGTCATTATTCATGCTCTCTTTATTTTTCGCTCTCTCTCACTCTTTCTATATGTATGTGTGGACATATATATATATATATATATATATAAATATGCATATATACATATATATATATATATATATGTGTGTGTCCTTCTCCCTTTTACCTATCCCTCTCTCTCTCTCTGGCTCTCTCTCTCTCTCTCTCTCTCTCTCTCTCTTCGTGTATATACACACAGATATGTGTGTACCAAAAACTCAATAGTGCAAGTGGTCTGCTCACCTCGTGGGGCCGCATCCACCAGAGCCCTGCAGATGGCCATGGCGATGCTGATGCTCATCAACGTGCAACGCTTGGCTCGCCACCGCTGTTGCACAGTACTGGAATATCTCTGCTTACGCGCTGCCAGGCCTATCGTCGATGCGGCCCCCTGTCTCTCTCTCTCTCTCTCTCCCTCTTTCTCTCACACACTCTCTCTCCCACGCTCCCTCTCTCTCACACACTCTCTCTCTATCTTTCTCTCTCGTTCTATCTCTCTCTATATATACACACACGTCATCTCCCTCTCTCCCTCTCCCTCTCCCTCTCTCCCTCTCTCTCGACGACAGCGATAACGCCCACGCCGCCGCCAACGACGACGACGACGATGGTGACCTCGATGACGACCACGGCGATAACGACGACCTGGATGACAACGACGAGGACGACAGCGACGAACACTTCAACAACGTCGCAGGCGACAACGACTACAACGACGACGACGAGGGCGACGCCGACGCCGACGACGACGACGACGACGACGACGACGACGACGACGACGACGACGACCACGACCACGACGACGACGACGACGACGACGACGACGACGACGACGACGACGGCGTTTCCAACGCTTCCATCGATTCCAGCGTTTCCGACGCGCCGCGAGGGGCGAGGCACGCTCCCCCGCGGCGGAGGACCGTGCACACGGTCGACGGGCCGCGGCCCTCGCGCGCGCGCCGCCCCGCCCCGCCAGCCCTGGGCCTGGCACAGAAGCCCCAGGACGCGGCACTGGCAGAGCAGGCCAGCCTTCCGCCAGGCCGCGCAGGTCTCTGCCGCCCCCCGGCGCACCGAAGTCGAGCCGCACCCACAGGGGGGGGCCTTCGGAGGCGAACCCCGAACCTGCCCGAACCTGCCGCCATCGGGCCCCTCTCAGGGGTTCCGCCCTTGCCCGCGCCAAAATTACCCGCCGCCGTGCCCTTGCCCGTGCCACCTCGCAGCCCAGGCCCGCTGGCGACCTCCGCGAAGGCTTCCGCGCGCCTGGCGCGTAGCCCCTTCTCGTCGGTCTCTCGGCCCTTGACGATGATCCAGCCGCTCGACGATCCTGTACTCTCGATGCCATGGCGCGCATTTTTGTGCAGGCCCGCGTTCAGCTTCGCAGCCTGGGCCACGTTCTTCTCAAACTGTACCACTGCGAAGCGGCTCGCGTCCACCGCTCCAAGCTCTCACTCACATCCGAATCCTCGTCCTTGGGCTCGCCCTCCCACTTGGCGTCCAGGTCGCACGAGGAGCCCGCGCCGAGCTCGCCGCCGCCGTCGCCGGCGGGCTCGCCCGCCTCCCCCGAGTCGTCCTAGGACGCGGCCGCCCGCAGCTCGTCGTCGCCCTCGAGCCTCATGCACTACCCCGCCACCGTCTCCTTGGTTTCCTGGATCTCCTCTTCGCCCTGCTCCTCGAAGCTGTCGCCCAGCGCGTGCTCGTACCCACCCTTCGGGTCGATGCTGCCAGCTCCCCGCCGTCGTCGGCAATCGGCGCGGCGGTGATGCCGCCGCAACTCGGCTCCCGGAGCTCCTCCTTCTGCGGCCGCACGCCGTAAAGCCGGCCCCTGAAGTCCTCCAGCACCTCCCCTTTGACCGCGGGCTCCTGCACTGGTCCAGGGAGGCGGTGACCTCCAGGGGGGGTCCTTGCCGCTCCTCGCGAGCCTGCCGACAAAGCCGCCGCGCCAAAGTGCGGGCGCTGGCAACCGCCCACTGCCGTGCCTCCATAGCGGCCTCCGGCGCGCGCCCGCGGACCCGGTGCGGGCGCGCGTCTGCGAGGGCCTCCCGTAAGCCGGCTCGCTTGAGCCAAATGGCTGCGGACGACGACGACGACGGCGACGACGGCGGCGACGGCGAAGACGACAGCGACAGCCCCCAAACTTTGCACCCCCAGAGTCCGAGGCCTAAGACATGTCCAAGACGCCCTGCTCGCCATCGCTAGGACGTCCATTCCCTTCGCTTTTTTCGGTTTCGTGCGTGTTTTTTTTCGCCACATGATCAAGGATGCTCCTCGATGGATCTCGCCGAAGGAAAAATGCACACGTCCGAGCGATGCCAAGCCTGACGCCGCGCGATCCCTGCAGCCTCGCTCCTCAAGCCTCGACCCTCCTCCCCCTGCCAGGGGCACCTTCGCGATGACCTTCGCAGCTGGGTCCCGCATGCCGCGCCCGCCCAGCTCCACGTGCACGACGCGCCCGCGCCTCGCGAGAGGAGAGGGCGGCATCGTCGTCGTCGTCGTCGTCGTCGTCGTCGCCGCCGCCGCCGACGCCCCCCCGGGCCTGGGACAGCGTGAATCGCGAGATCAAGTCGGATCGGAAGCTGAGACGTCGTCGCCGTCGTGGTCGTGGTCGTGGTCGTGGTCGTGGTCGTGGTCGTGGTCGTGGTCGTGGTCGTGGTCGTGGTCGTGGTCGTGGTCGTGGTCGTCGTCGTCGTCGTCGCCGTCCTCGTCGTCGTCGTCGTCGTCGTCGTCGTCGTCGTCGTAGTCATTGTCGCCTGCGACGTTGTTGAAGTGTTCGTCGCTGTCGTCGTCGTCGTTGTCATCCAGGTCGCCGTCACCGCCGAGGTCGTCGGCGGCAGCCGCCGCAGGAGGCAGGGGAGGGCGGCAGAGGGGGGCGACAACGACGACGACGCAACAGGACGAGGCACGAGGCGGATGCCTGTGATGAGCAGCGCGGGGAGCAGGGGGCGCAGGCGGCCCGACTCGCTTCAGACATCGCGCGGGGCACGGAAGCGGCGCAGCCCAGATGGGAGACGCCTCGCGCAGGGGGGCCCGCTGGAGACTCAACCAGGGGGAGGTGGGGGAAGCCGCAGCGCGCAGCCTCGGCGGCAGACTCCTGCCAAGCCAGCAGCAAGGAGGAAAGAAAGGCACACGAGCTGAAGGGAGAAAAAGCATAAGACGAGTGGGCCAAAAAGAGAAAGAGATGGACGGGGGGGAGACGGCGGCCGAGGGCGAGGGGGAGCAACAGCAGCAGCAGGGGGGAGGAAGACGACCAGCAAGACGGAGGACGAGGGCGGCAAGGGGGACTGGAGAGCGAAGGGGAGGGGGAATGGAGGAGGAGGAGGAGGAGGAGGAGGAGGAGGGGGAGGAAGTTGTTGTTGGGGACGGGCCTAAAGCCGAGCTCCTCGAAACCAACGCGAAGCTCGAGGCCTCCGGGTCCGACTGCCCTCGCTCTCCAGACGGGCCTCGGAGCGACACCTCCCCGCGGGCGGGCCTCCGCCCAGGGGGCAGCCGGCCCCGGCGAGGCCGAACAAAAAACAAAACTTGCGCTCGCGAGAGGCGAAGCCCGACACGAAGCCACAAAAACGAGACCCGACTGAGATGGAGCCAGCACCCGGCGCTCGACGAGATCAAGGCCCTCGTGGGCCCCCAGCGACGAGTCTTCGAGGTCCTTCTCGCAAGGCGGAAGCTTACCCAGCCGAATTCGACGCAGCTGGTCACTGATTCCGCCCGTGGAGGACTTGGGCCTGCACGGCCATCTAGCTCCAGCGTTGGGACCTCCCGAGCAAAAAAAGGGACCCGCGCCGACAACAAAACGGGATCCTGCTTCTCGGGGGGCCGAGGCGGTCGGAAACGGCACAGGCCAAAAAGGCATGACCGTTCACTCGAAAAACCTGCCAAGAGAACTTCGTCCAGTCCACCCCCGAACGCGACCCACATCCCCCATCCCGCTGGTCGTCAGCCAGGGCGTGGCTGTAAGCAGCATCGCCTCCTGGCATCGAATCTGGAGGCGAGCTGGCCGCGGCTACCGCTGGAGGGGTTTCGAGCCCCGTCGCGTCGCGGGGGCCTCCTGGCATCGAGACCTTGAGGCATCCAGCTCGCCTGCACACTTCACAGGCTAGGCTGCGAAATCCTCGAACTGACTGGGCATCTCAGTCGGTGACCCCGTGGCAATCGGCTCCGAGCTTGGCTGAACTGTCAGCTTCACCGTTAGCCCGCTGCTCCCAGGCAGTACTCTTGCCACTGGCAGCATCGGCCTCGGTGGCGCGCCCGAGTCTTAAAAGCAGAGAGCAAAAGAGCTTACCAGCCTGGAACATATCCCTATCCCTATGTTGGGCATCTCCTCATCACGATGCCAATCTTAGGGATTCCCTTATTTTTTGAGGGCGAATCCCTAAGATTGTCATCGCCTTTTGGCGTGTCGATCTCAGGGATAGGGATACGTTCGAGGCTGGTAAGGGGCTCCGCACGGGGCCCCAGAGGTGCCCCCCATCGGGGCCCCAGGGCCTTAGGAGAAACCAGGGCCCCGCGCCAGGGAGCCGAGAGTACCCTGGCAACCTTATTTAAACTTCGAGCGGGGGGAAGGCCCACCTCTGCGAGCAGATACGCAGCACAAGATTCCCCATCTGTACTAGCCTGCTGCGGGGCTCCGCCCAGAAGCGCGGGCCCACAGGCAGCCGCGATCGTCTGCGCAAAGCGGCCCACTGAAACAATGACCCACCCCGCCCTTGCAGGCCCGTCGATGCCCACAAACTTGGACGACCCATCCAGGAAGAGCAGCCCTGATACAGCACCCACCGGGGGCTGCTTGATCCCACACACCGACTGAGCTGGCGCATGGAACGCGAAGAGGTCCACGGAATGCGGGGGGGGCACCTGGCAAACCTTTCGGCCGCCTCGGGGCCGTTCCCCTTGACCCTCCTGGCAAATGCACTCAGCTGGGGACTGGCGCAGCCCCGTCGAAGAGCAGCGCGCGCTGGGCAGTCGTATCGCCTGTGAAAAAGCGTGCCTGGCGCGCCTCGGCAAAGCTGGCACAGCTCGTCGCTGTGGAAGCTGTGCCTGAACAGCCTCTCTCGGGGCCAATGGACTCCCGAAACCAGACCTCGAAGGCAACGCTGGTGACGCTTGCTCCAGGTAACCGACTTCTCACGAAACATCCTGCTGATTCCTTCCCAAAAGATCGTGCAAACCTGTTGGCCGTCATGGGGAAAAGGGAGCGCCTGTCTGACGCGCGCACCACCCCTTGCTGCACGAGGGCCATGGCCTGCATCGTGGAGAGCTGCGGCACATTAAATTCGATTACGGGATGATTGACCACATGCTGGCGGTCCCTGAAGTCCCAGCCGAGCCCGCACAGCGCGAGCAGAGCCACGTCACTCGGGAGCGAAGCCGATCTCCAAGAGTGCCTCGAATTCGGAAACGTGGCTATGGAATGCTGCATCGTGCTGGCCAGGACCTGGGCCTTCGGAACCGATTCCCAGACAGCCATGGCCCACATAAATAGTACATGCCCTGCATGCACGATCAGCGGGTCGATCTTGGACCCCAGGCTGTAAGTGTACATGCGGAGCCCGACCGAAGTGGCTCGCCGGGCGGGACCTCCCAGGTATGTGGAGGCGATCTTCGACCTGCCTGAAACCACATGGGACGCCAAACGTCCAGTAGTTGCTGAAGGACGGCCTGACCTGCCACACGAAGAGCTGGACCGTTGTTGCCTCCACTGGTACAACTGATAGATAACCTGCTGCTGCGAGAAGGCGTGCGCTGCCTTACCAACTCCAGCGACGGATTTTCTGGCCCACTCCTTCCACTTGGCCAGCTGCGCAGCTGCGTCCTGCTTCTGGCGACGACAGCATTCGGCTTCGACGTCGGAAAAGACCTCTTCGTCCCAGGCTCCAAGGCCCGTCGCTGCAGAGACCAAGGAGCACAACTTGTCCTGATTCGGCCCCTCGGAGGACCAGAGCAAACCCAAGATCAATCCGCGATGCTGCAATAAACCCTCCCGCCCCAAGTTCACTCCTCATCAGTCATCCCGTCCCAAGTCCCCTCCCCATTAGTCCCTGGAGGCTTTCCGCTTCACTAATTACAAGAAGCGCCCCCTTTGAAAGACCAGCACCACATGGGCCTGCCATTTTGGCGAGGGCCCCGTTTTGAAAGGGAACCGCCTTGCATCCTTCTGGCGCACCATCAGGATCTCGAAAGGAGGGTAGTAGGGGCAGGGGTGCGGTTAGAGGAAGACTGTCCCGAACAGCTCCTAGAGGAGGGAAACGTGAGTATCCATATGGGCTCCGTCCCTCGCCCCACCCTGGTATAGCTCACCCTCTGCTGGGGGCCTCCCAGCTAGGGTCAGAGTAGATACGGTCGGGGAATCACGCCGCATCGCCGACGCATGACCGACGCATCGGCGCCGTGCGACGTCGGCGTCGAGAAAATCGGGCTCCGCATCGAGCCGCATCGCCGATGCCTCGGCGATGCGGCGCGATCCTCAGGCCCCCTCCACTCCGACCCCAATCGGGAAGGCATGGGCCTGTGAACGCCCGACAGAGATGAAGAGGCCCAGGGACAGACACAGGCACAAAACCCAGGATGCTCAATATTGTCTATTTTTCCAGGATGCTCATCTTCTACTCCACTTCCCTGGGCCGCGAATCAATGGGGGACTATTAATTGGAGGTGGGGGGGAAGGCAGGTGCCCTTCTTCTAGCCCAAAGGCCCCCTCTGTGGCCCGAAAGGGGCCCTCTGGGGGCCCTCAAGGGCCCCTTTGCTTGGCAGCCCTCGCTGCCCCCCCAGTCACCGCCCCCCTCCCCCATTTGTCGCGGTCCGATTCCCACGTTGCCCACAGATTCCTGGGGAATCGACGATGACCTGCCTGTGTGTGCTGCTCCCCCCCCCGGAGGAGAGGCAGGGCGGCCCGCTGGCGGCGGCCACCGCGGGCCGCCCTGCCTGGCGCGGCGGCCGCGCGGGCGCCCGTGGCGGCACGCCGCCGCGCGCTGCCGGCAGGCGGGCGGGCGTGCGAGGCGGGACTGGATCCACATCCACCGGGCCTGGGCACGGACGTCCCGGTGCCCCACTGGGCATCGCTCGGACGTCGATTCCCTGTGTTTTTTTCGGTGTCGTGCGTGGTTTCTTCGCCAAAGCATCAAGGATGCTCCTCGATGCACACGTCCGAGCGATGCCAAGCCCAGCGGGCGGCAGGTATCCGTAGCCACCGCCCGTGGAGGTCCGCGAAGATCGACCCCCCAGGCAGTGGCAGTGGGCAACTCCCCGCCTCGGAGGGCGGGGCTCGGGCGGGGCGGGCCGTCGTGGAGCAGGCCCGTTTTGGCAGCGTCTCTGCCGCAGGCGCTTCACGCGCTTCGGACTGCTCCGCTAGCTGGGTCTTGGACGCAGAGGGCCGAAGGAGACTGATCCGATTGTATAGCGGGACGGTCGCTTTCAACAGGGCCCGCCGGGCTACCTTTCCAGAGGGCTGCGCGAGTGGACCTTCATGCGATTGCGATGAGGAAACAAGTCCGCCATCTGGGTTCTGGACGCCACAGGTTAGAAGCTGGCAGCGCATGGTATAGGCCAGCTTCTCTCCACGGCTTCCGGGCAGGCACTCTCGAAGCAACTCCTGTGAATTGGCAGCGTGTCCCGAGAGCGATGTCCTACTCGTTCCCAATATGTTTCCGGGGGAACGTTCCGCAGCAGGTGCGCAGGCGGCCCCCACGTGGCCGCGGGAAGCAGTCATCAATCCCCCGGGGCGTTTCATCGGCGGCGCTGGAAGAAAAGCTAGTCAGTTCCCCAGGGTGGGGGGACCGACGAGCGATAAGATTGATTGATTGAATAATTCCGCGGGGAGGCAGAGGGAAAAAAGGTGAGTAAGGTAACCCAAGAGAGGCCCCACGACGGTATCCTAGGAGCCCAGAGCCTCCGCCGAGTCCAAAATCTCTGGGACAGCCCTGAGACAACCCTCTTGGGGCCGCTTTGAAATCCTATCAAGATCTTGGTAGGATCCTGCACTGAGGGGTCCAGGGCTGGGTATCACTTCTAAACAGTTTCACCGACAAGGGGGGATAATTGCGTTCCACAATTACCCAGACATCCAGCGGCCCGATCTTGCTCAAGAAAGGGGGTCTCGGACCTCCACTGGCCGCTTTCATGGCCGCTTTCCAGGGTCAAGCGCTTCATCCTGGGCCACTTTTGCTACGCGTGGCCCCGGGACCTAAAACTGAACTGGTCTTCACGGTCAAGCAGCAGTGCAGGCAGTCGGCCAGGACCAGGCAAGCAGCAGGGCCGTGGGCGCAAAAACAGCATCGAATGACACACCGCCGTGGCGTACCCATCACTGGCCATCGCTCGGACGTCCATTTCCTGTGTTTTGTTTGGTTTCGTGCGTGTTTTTTTCGCCAAATGGTTGAGGATGCTCCTCGAAGGTCCTCGCCGAGAAAACAATGCGCACGTCCGAGCGATGCCAAGATCAGCATGATAGTGTTGAGGAGAACACGCCACGAAGAGCAGGTGCAGGCAAGCAGGAGGCGGCGACAGGCCGAGCAGGCACCTGCCATCGCTCGGACGTCGATTCCCTGTGTATTTTTCGGTTTCGTGCGTGTTTTTTTCGCCAAATGGTCAAGGATGCTCCTCGATGGTCCTCGACGAAGGAAAAATGCACATGTCCGAGCGATGCCAAGGGCAGGGCAGTGGGTCGTCGCGCAGGGCGGGAGGCGCGCGCCTCGTGATCCACTTCGGCACCTCCCGGCAGAGGCCCCCGGACGACTCCTCCGCGAGGCAGCGGAGGCAGACGACGACGACGACCACGACGACGGTGACAACGGACGACGACGACGACGACGACGACGACGACGACGACGACGACGGCGGTCCCGACAGCAACCACGACGGCAAAGACGAAACCCACGACCACGACGACGCCACGATCGACGACTACGGCGACAACGATGACGGCGACGACGACCGACGACATAACCCACGCTAACGACGACGACGACAATGACGGCGACAAACGACCGACGATGACGACGACACGGTCGACGGCGTCGTCGCCGTCGCCGTCGCCATGGTCGTCACCGTCGATGTCTTCACTTCGCGGGCGAAAAGCGGTATGACATATGGATTCCGCCATGGGAGACGCCTGTCCCAGGGTGGCTGGGAAAGCTAGACCTGCGCGGTGACATGTCAAATTGTATACTTCCCCGCCGCCCTGGGACGGGCAGGCGTCCCCGATGGCTACAAAAAGACAGCGACCCTTCGGCGTGTGTGAGACGCTTTTCCATTTGCGTTGTCGTCGTCGTCGTCGTCGTCGTCGTAGTCGGCGGCGGCGTCGTCGTCCTCGTCTTCGTCCTCGTCCTCGTCCTCGCCGTCAATGCCAAAGAACTTGAGGAACGAGGAAAAGGAACGTAGTGATTACGTCGATTCTCGTCCCGTTCCCCCTTCCCTGCCGGAGGGGAGGGGAAGGCGGGAAGAGGGGTGTGTGTGGGGGGGCGGGTCAGAATGTCGCCCCCCCCCAGGGGTCCCGGCGTGTCCTGGGGGGGTGGCCAGCGGGGATCCCCGGGAGAGGTCCCGCCTTCAGGGTCGGCGGCACTGGCCGTGAGGCCTTCGCAGTACGTAATGTTGTTCCCAATCATCCCGTGTTGGGCACTCGCCTTGAGTAGAGCACTGCGGTCGCGACTCCTCCTCCTCCTCCTCCTCCTCCTCCTCCTCCTCCTCCTCCTCCTCCTCCTCCTCCTCCTCCTCCTCCTCCTCCTCCTGCGCAACTGTCGCCACTATCGTGGGCTCCTGGGATGCTCGGCGGGGGTGGGGGCCACGCGGATCACTCGGGGACCTCGCGGCTCCCTGGGGGGGCTGCGAACTGCGCAACTGTCACCACTTCCGTGGACTCCTGGAAAGTCCAGCGGAGTCGGGGGCCGCGCGGATCCATTTGGGACCTCGCTGCTACCTGGGTGCCTGCGAACTGCGCAACTGTCGCCACTTCGTAGGCTCCTGGGAGGTCCAGCGCACTCGGGAGTCACGCGGATCCATTTCAGACATCGCTGCTCCCTGGGCGGCTGCGAACTGCGCAACTGTCACCACTTTCGTGAGCTCCTGGGAGGCACGGCGGAGGTGGGGGCCACGGGGCTCCATTTGTGACCTCGCTGCTCTCTGGGCGGGGGCTGCGGACTGCGCAACTGTCACCACTGTCGCTGGCTCCTGGGAAGTCCAGCGGAGTCAGGGGCCACTCGGATCCATTTGGGACCTCGCTGCTCCCTGGGTGGCTGCGAACTGCGCAACTGTCGCCAACTTCGCAGGCTCCTTCCTGGGAGGCACGGCGGAGGTGAGGGCATCCCAGATCCATTTGAGACCTCGCGGTTCCCTCGGGTGCTGCAAACTGCGCAACCGTCGCCACTTTCGCGGGCTCTTGGGAGGCACGGCGAAGTTGAGGGCAGAGCAGATCGTGTTTACCTGGCGAAGTGTTCTTTTGCATGGAGCGTGCATGAAAAGATTCGCCTCGCTTGGAGAAGGGTATGGGAATTGGCACGTATTGGGCAACGTTGATCTTATTTCTGGCAACGACCGTTACGTGGGGGGATGCCAGGTAACGAGAACGCTTGGGCGGGGTGGGGCACGTCGGGCGGGGGGGGCGCTGCGATCGCCGAAGGCGCGCGAGCACCAGGGGGGCAGGCTCCCCCCTGCGGTTACGCGGCGGAGGGTAAACAAAAATGCCTCTGCAGTTCTGCGTCCGCAAATCGAGCGACGACGGCAAACGGAACTTACGCCAGAAGACTTAGCGACCTTACGCCGCGGCTTACGCGGGCCGCCAGCGTGGCACACCGCGCGAAGACGTCCGTCGTTCAACTGGGCCCACGCTGGGCTCATCGGGGAGGGCGCGGCCTGAACTGCCAAGGCCCTCGCGCTACCCAAACACACGATGTCCTGACTTTTCTATACCGGGCCCCCCGAAGTCCCCAGGGACCGGCTTCTCAGCCAGAGTCGTTTCGGTTACGGTCCCAGGGCCCGGTGAAGGCCCCCAAGACTCAAAATGCTGAAAACAGAAACAGAAAAAACGCCACAAACACAAACGTTTGGCGCTCCGCGCGGATTTTTCTTGGACCTGCGTCGGGTCCCCCTCCCTGGCGCGCGAAGCGCGCCAGGGGCGGCGCCAGAGGCGCCGCCGAGGCCCAGCGCGGATTCGAGAGATCCGCGCGGAGCGCCAAAAGTTTGTGTTTGCGGCGCCTGTCTTCTGCGATCAAAACCTCCCAGCGTGACTTTGTTGCTGTCGCTCAGAGCGTCGTCGCCGCGGCGACGACCCGCCGTCGCGGCGGCGGCTCCTCGAGCGGCGGCCCCGCTGGCCGTGCCGCGCGCTTCGGCGCGCGCCCCTGGACGGCGGCCCGGACCGCCGCCGCGGCCGCGCGGGCTCCCAGAGCACCTCGGGGGGGGGCCACGCCTTCAGCGCAGGCGCCGCTCGTAGCTGGCGTCGTCGTCGTCGTCGTCGTCGTCGTCGTCGTCGTCGTCGTCGTCCGTTGTCATCGTCGTCGCGGTCGTCGTCGTCGTCGGTCTTCGTCGGCGTCGGCGTCGCTCGTCGGCGTCGGCGTCCGTCGTAGCCGCCGTGGGCGGCGGTGTCGGCGTCGACGTCGTCGTGGCTCGTCGCCGTCATCGATCGCCGTCGCCGTCACCATCGCCGTCGGCCAGTCGCTGTCGTCTAGAAGGAAATTGAACGCGTAAGCGTCGGTGTCGATCTCGGTCATTGACGATATTGGTCATCGTCGATTCGTGGATCATCCTCGCGAAACAGCGACGGCCAGCATGGACCACGACCAAAATCTGCGTCGACAAGATCACGCAACACCTTGGTTATGTTCAGAGTGAGGAGGCCGAACGTTCTGACACCAGCCCTGAGGGCGTGGATGAGGTGGGCTTCCGCAATGGTGATTCTAGAAGTGTCCCTTCTGAACAACTAGCGTTGACAACCCTTCCCTGGATGCGTTTATGAATTGAAGCGCCCCTCCCAGGGCTCACACCCTGTCCTCCTCCTCCTCCTCCTCCTCCTCCTCCTCCTCCTCCTCCTCCTCCTCCTCCTCCTCCTGCGCCTCCTGCCCTTCGTTTTCATCTTCGTCGTGTTCCCCTGAGCCACCTTTCCACGACTCCGTGGGGCATTCACGGCCCCCCCTGGGCAAACCGGTACTGAAAAACATGCCCTCCTCCTCCTCCTCCTGCTCCTCCTCACCCTCGTTTTCATCTTCGTCGTCTTCAGGGTCGGCGGCACCAGCCATAAGGCCTTCGCAATATTGGGTCTCCAAACTGCGCTGTTGGCTCCTAAATTACTACAACAGCGGCTCCCGCCTGATACTGCCTCACAAGATACCGAGGAGTCGCGCTGTCGCTCGGGTCTTCCTTGCAATTTGCCCAGGTAGCGCGCTCTCGCGCGGGACTTCCTGGCAGTTTGTTCAGACGTCGCGCCCTCGACATTCAGGGACCACGCTCCCGGTCTAAACTTCCACACGTGTACTTGGGAATCGCGCTATCGCGAAAGACTTCCTCACGATTCATGCAGGACTGACGCTTCAGAGATCCGCCCGCTCGACATGGTCGTATGGGCCCGCCGACACGACCCGCCCGTCAGGGACCGCCCGCCAAACCCTCCCATCTGATTCTGCCGCTTGTTTTCTCTTGGGCTCCATCCTCTCCCTCCCCCTGGCCCCTTCCCTCTTCCCTGCCCTTTCGCACTGCTGTCCTGCTCGCTGTAAGTGTTTTCCTGTCTCCCTCCTCTTCCTGTTTGAGGGGCTGCGCCAACCACACGTGGCAGGTAAGGAAGATATACCACCAAGGGGAGCACGATCGAAGACGAAGAGAGCGTATATCGAGGGCTTGGGATATACATGTTGATTGACACGCGAGCAGATAAGAGGGAACAACCTCCAGAATGAATGTTGCTATTATTTTTGTTGGTGTCGTCGTCCTCGCCTTGGACCCCCCCCGCGACCCACCCATCCGCGACCCACCCATCCGCGACCCACCCCGCGACCTAACTCTTGACCTAACCCGCGACCCACCCGCGACCCACTCGCGACCCACCCCGCGCCCGCCAACTCACTCGTATAGGCAATTGCGGGGTGCTACTTGGCGGCGAGCGAGGGGGGAAGTGATAAGGAGAAGGCCATCTAAGAAAGCGGCTGGACTTATCAGAAGACGTCGCGCCTCCTGAGACGTTTTCAGCGTCTTCGGGGAAGGCTCAAGAAACTTCTCAGAAGGCCGGGGGACTTCCGAGCCCTCTGAGAAGGCCTTCTCCTTCTCAGTTCCTCCCCTCGCTCGCCGCCGAGCTACGCCATCGTACTTCTTCCCTCCATCGTCGGCGGTGGCGTCGACGTCGTCGTCAGCGGCGGAACGGAGCCCCCGGCCACGCCGTCGGATCCAGCGCCGTCGTCGCCGTCGTCGTCGTCGTCGTCATCGGCGTCGCCATCGGTATTTTCGGTGTTCGTCGTCGCTCGTCGCCAGCGTCGCCACCGTACGCTCGATTTATCCGGGATAACTGCGGTCCGGGGTACTTCCAGATTGGGCCTCCGAGGCGCGAATCTGTAGTTACTCCTGACGGCCTCCTGCCCTAATGATTCGGGAGGGTTGGACGCCCGAATTATCTGGGATAGCTGCAGTCTACGGTAACTCCTGTTTAGGCCCCCGAGGCGCGAATCTGCAGCTATCCCTGACCGCCCCAAATCCTGATGGTTCGGAGCTCTGAATCGTCGGCGTCTGTCGTCGTCGTCGGTCGTCGTCGACGGCGTCGGCGTCGCTCATCGGCGTTGGTCGTGGCCGCCGTCGGCGGCTGCGGCGTCGACTTCTTCGTGGCTCGTCGCCCGTTGTCAATCGCCGTCGGCGTCGCCGTCGGCGTCGCCGTCGGCGCTGGTCGTTGTCGGCGGCGGCGTCGGCGTCGTGGTCGGCAGCAGCGGGCCGGAGCCCCCAAACGCGCCCCCTGAGGCACCCCCTGCGCTGGTCGGTGTCGGCTTCCGCGCTGGTGGGCTCCCTGGGTCGTCCTCGCTGTCGCTGATCAGAGGAGGAACAAGGACCACCGCCACCGAGAACCCCTCGGGGGTGCCAAAACCCTGAGCGTTGGCACGCCCGAGTCTCACCCAGCACAGGACGACGCGCAGGCGTGCAACCGCCCAGGGGTCGGGCCCCGATCGGGCTTTCGGTGCTGGTGGTCCCTGTTCCTCCTCTGAGCTGACGTCCAACTCCACGGGCTCCCTCTTCACCGACCGGAAGCAGCCGCCCGCGCCGCTCGCGGCGCCTGGGGCGGCCGCTCGCGGCGCCGACAGCGCGCGCGAGAACGCCGCCGCCGCCGCCGGCGGGCTCGGCGAGGCGGCGCTGAGCGACGACAGCGCGCGCAAGGACGCCGCCGCTGGCGGCGACCTCGGCGAGGCGGCGCTGGGCGGCGACGGCGGCGCGCGCGAGGACGCCGCCACCTCTGCCGACCTCGGCGAGGCGGCGGCGCGGGGCGGCCGCGCCGGCGGCGAGCTCGGCGAGGAGCCGCCCGCGCCGCGGCCGTCGGCCGCGGGGGCGCGCGGCGGGGCCGCGCGGCAGCGGCGCCCCCGCGCCGCGCCCGGCGCGGGCGCGCAGGCGGGGCAGAGCCAGTCACCCTCGCGGCAGGGCGCCGCGTGTGTACACGCCGATTCCCCGGCCCCAGGAGGCCCGGGGACGGGCTGCGCTCGCTGTGGCCAGCCGTGCTTCTCACACGCTGGCCCGGAGGATGCTGTTCTGGGCAAGGCTCTTGATGCTCCTATTCCCCGGGCCTTCTTCACCTCTTCAACTGTGTTCTGAATGGTGCTGCAGGAGTGAAGGCGCCCTGGGGCCTGGCAGCCCCAGGGCGGCCCCAAGAAGACCCAGGGGCCCCAGGAGGCCAGCGCATGCACCCTCCTGAAGCCCGGATGCCAGCGGAGCCGCCTGCGCATGCACCGACCCCGGGCCCAGCGGACCCGCCTGGCTGAAATCGGCCAACTGCGGTAGAAGTCCAGACCCTCGACATCAAATGTTTTCACGTGGACCCCCCGAGGTCTCAAACAGTTGCCCAGGACAGGGCCCCCTTTTTGTTACGTTCTTAGGTCCAGGCAGAGGGCCCCAGAGGCCAAGCATACACACATGTATATTTAAAATGTACACAACCAACCAACAAACAAACCAAACAAACAAACACATATACAGACATTCATACGTACTGATACATATGCATATCCATGTACATAAACATCTACACATACATCTACACATACGCGTACGCATACATATACTCTTACGCACACGCATACGCGTACACATACACATACATGTGCACGTACATGTACACACACATACATACACATGCTCATACACATACATGTACGCTAAGATAGACAGTATCATGTACATATACATATACGTATACATATAGGTATACACACATACATTCACACATGCATTACACATCTCCGCAAACATATACATACACGTCTACACATGCAGTTACATGGCTGTGTACATCGACATAGGCATAGGCATCGCAATCCATGTATGTATATGTGTATATACATGCATTTAAAACAACCTAGGGATGAAATAAACAAAGGAATGTACACAGCATTCGTAACCATGTGCAAATACCCATACATATACACATACATCTGCATATACACATTCACATACATCTATCTATGTATGTATACAGATATACATACGTGCACGTATACATTTACACGTGCACATCTACGTGTGCATGTGCATATACGTGCGCACTGCCATGTGCAAATGTATAGATGTATGCTTATAGTTTTCAGACATATACATATATATATACATACACTAACATGTGCATATACATATGCACAGGCCTTCACAATTATACATTTACACAAACATATACACGTTCATACTTCTAACAACTCATATACATTTACGTATACATACAAGTAGACGTGTACATATATACATATATATACGGTTACACAAGCATATACGGACATATTTGCATACCCAAACATATACATGTACATATACATGTACATGATCATATACATGTACGTATACATATACATATGCATACACATATACAAATAAACATACAAGCAAACAATCATACATATAAACATGTATACATATGCATGTCCGTTTACATATGCAGATACATAGACACATGCAACAAATACGTACGCATGCACATGCATCAATACATATACATATACAAATGCATGTGCATACACACATACATACATGCATACATACATACATAAATAAATACAAATACACATTTACCATTATATTTATACACACACCTAATGTGTTCATTACTTTGGGGGTCCGGGGTGTACAACTGGCGCCCCCCGACCTCGGGCACCCGCCGGAGCCCCACGCAGTAGTAGTGGTACGCGGCGTTGCACCGCCCCTCGCGCCCGTCACAGAGCAGCAAGGCGTCCTCGTTCCCGGGCTCGCCGCAGGCGGGGCACACCTGCTCCTGCACCGAAGAAGGCTGTGAAACCCGGGCGAATACTTGGATCACCGCGGGGGCAGGTAAGGGGATAGACTGGCTGAACGTGGATGTTGAGTTCGGGTATATGTACATGTATGAATATATATATATATATATGTATATATACACATATGAATACAAACTTATGATTGCATCTGTTGGCCAGCGCTGACGCCAACCAGTGCGTTTTAGCATACTACGTGGCACAGTAGATGTGAGGTGCAAGCTATGTGGTGCAAATTATGTGGCGGAAGCTACGAGGTGCAATACCTATGGTGTAATTTAAGCGGTGCTGTACAATGTGGCGCAAGACTGGTGACTCAATCTACGTGGTGGAGTCATTCTCTTGCTCAGATTGGATCTATCCTCTCCACTGCTCGTGCAAACATCCCACCCTCCCACCCACAACTAGGTCGCAAGACCTCTTAAGACCGTAACGGTAGGTACCAAATTGCACTTGGCAACGACACCGACGCCGACGACGACAGCGACAACGACGACAACGACGACGCCGCCGACAACGACTACGACGACGCCGACGACGTCTCCAACGACTTCGATGACGACGCCAATGACGACGACGACGACGCCGACAACGACGACGACGACGACGACGATGACAACGCCGACGACGACGACGACGCCGACGACGCCGACGACGACGACGATGCCGACGACGACGACGACGAAGACGACGACGACGACCTCGCCAACGACGAGGCAGGAGGGAGGACGAAGACGGCGACAACGACGACAACGACGAGGGAGGAGGGAGGTCGACGACGACGCGAACGATAAAAAAGGAGGGAGGACGGCGACGCCGACGACGACGACGAGGGAGGAGGGAAGACGACGACGACGACGACAGCAAGGAAAAAGGAGGGACGACGACGAGACGCCGACGACGGTCGACGACGACGACAAGGGAGGGGGAAGGACGCCCAAGGCGACAACGACGACGGAAACGACGACGACGCCGAACACGACGACAACGACGACGACGACGACGAGGAGAGACAGAGGACGACGACGGCGACGACGACGACGACGACGACGAGGGAGGAGGGATCACGGCGACGACGGCGACGACGCAAGAACGCGCGCGCACGCTTTTGTTGAAAATCACTGCGAAACCATGTGTTTGTGTATGTTTTGTGGACACTCGATTGCGAAATGCGTCCGAAACCGAAGGTTTTGAAGGATTTAGGCATGCGCGCGCGACGACGCTCGAGCGCATGTCGTCACATTTGTTGCAACGGATTCTCCCGACGGTACGTGCGCAAGGGCGTTCGAGAGATTTCGACATGCGCGCGCGAAGCCCGCAATTTTCTCTGATTTCGCAAAAGCACGCGTAAGCTTTCTGAGAAACACAGTGTTGCGAAACTTCGTGTTTTTGTAAATTGTTTGGAATTCGATTTTGAAATTCCTCCGAAAACGAAGGTTTTTGACAGATTCCGGCACGCGCGCGCGACGACGCGCGCGTGTGCACGTCGTCACATATGTTGCAAGGGATTCCTAAACACTTATAATGTTTGATGAACGAGCGCGCCCATAGTACGTTGCAGAGGATGGCGGGGAGGGTCGATACCGACCTGGCTGGGATAGTATGAATTCACAGGTAGAATGGACATTGGGTCAAAATCCTGTGTTTTGCATCAATCCCCGGGGGATCTTTAATCCCGGGGGGTCGGGGGGGATACCCTTGCTTGTAATATATATATATATATATATATATATATATATATATGTATATATATATATATATATGTATATATATACATACATACATATATATATAGATGTTTCGCAATGAACTGTCAACCCCCTGCTCGCGCAATCATTCCACCCACCCGCCCGCAATTTGGCTTACATAAGCCCATGCGGCGGCAATTGCGATCAGTGTTTCAGTGCGGCTGGTGAACTTCTGCGACCGGCACTTCAGTGCGAGTCGGCGATTTGGGCGGGCGCAATAGCGTGGCAACGTCGACAACGGTTGGCGCGAGGATGATAGCGATGCTGGTGACGAGGATGACGACGACGGCAAGGCCAATGACTTCGCCGATGCTGATCACGCCGACGACGATGACGGCGCCCTCGCGCTGGCGATGAAAAATCGAAGGAATTCGACACGCGCGCGACCGACGCGCGAGTGGACCGCATGGAAATCTTCGACACGAATCGCGCCCCCACCACTAGGCGCGCAAGGGCGCTCGAATGATTTCGACATGCGGCGCGAGAGGCCCGCTTGGCAGAACTTAACATGTTGAGAAAAGACGCATGGCTCTTCTTGCGAATACTTCACACAGACGCGAACGCAGGATTGTTCGAAGACTGGCGTTGCAAAACCATGTGGTTACATGGTTTCGGAACACTCGCTTTTGATATCTTCACGAAACACAAAATGTTAAAGATATCGACGCGCGCGACGACGCGCGCGCGTGCACTTCGCCCCGTTGCGTTGCAAGGGGTTCTTGGGACAGTGCCCGCGCAGGGGCCTTCGAACGATTTCGACGCGCGCGCGAGAGAGGCCCGTCGGTGGCATTTCATGAAAGTGTTGAGGAACGTGCTGCTTTCTCAAGAATTCGCCCGGAACGCGGGTGCAAGCTTTTTCTTGAAAATTCGCGCTGCGGAACCATATGTGTTTATTTGTTCTCGGGGCTTTCGTTTGAAATTCTTACAACACCTCCGGCCTTTTGAAAAAATGGCATTCGCGCTTTTGTTTTTGCCATCAACGGCAATGCCTCAGGAACGTTTAGACCAGACGGAGCGAGACACCCCTGCCAGGAAACCAAAACCTTCAATCCGCAGAATCGCTCGAAAACCGAGGCCTCGGACCAGGGGGGGAGCTTCGTCTCCTATGAGAGCGCGCTCCCTCCCTGAAAACAAAAAACCTGCCGCCTCCTCCTCCGCCCCCCACTCCTCGCCACCAGCACGGGCCCCGCCTCGTGGAGCGAGCTGGGCAGGGGCCTGAGCGCCTGATCCTGCCCCTGCTCGGGAGGGCGCGACGGGCGGGGTGGGCGAGGGGGGGGGGGCGCCGCAGGAAGACGGGCCGGCGCGAGCGGACCGAGGGAGGCCGAGACAGGCAAACTGTAAGCTGTCTCGACCGCAACCAGGGGCTTATCAAGATGACAGCCCTTCTGAATCTTCCTCCAATTCCTCTGGCCCGTTATAGTGGGCGGTGGACACAACTGACCCAGCTTCTTAACCTGGGCACCTGAACTGTAACACCTGCAGTGCAAGCACGTGAAAATAAACGAGTTGTCAGAGCAAGCTAATGCAATGACCTTGTGACCTAACCTGTCAAGCACAGCCGAGTCAAGCCTGGAGCGCCCCCTGCACCCCTCAGGCGAGGGCTTGGACTGGGACAGGGAACCCTGCAGACACACTCTACATCTCCAGACATTACTGATGTGCTCCCATAGGTGCTGCAACCTAGGAGCGGACGGAGCAGGAGGAGGAGGAACCCGCTCCACCCCGCGAAACTCCACCCGAGGCCAAAGGGGGAGGAGAACCGCTCCTAGAGCCATCACTGTCTTAGACACTTTAATTTCCCAGTCAAGTTCCCTAGAAAGCAGAGGGTCGAAGGGGGGGTGTCGGGCTACCGCTCGCTTAGCACCAGCATCAGCTAGCTCGTTGCCCTTCTCTGAGACCTCTCCCCACGGGATAAACCATCCTCTCCTGGGTTGAGGTGGGCAGCGACTTTGGCCAGAGAGCGCAGCTTCCCCTTCCCTAGAGCAAGACCTTGCAGCATGAGCCCAGAGTGCACCCTCTTGGGAGATTTGCACACGTCGAGGCCCAGGGAGTACTGCTTAACTACATTGGCACAATCGCTGCACGCATCGGCACTGCCACCCACACATATCCCTATACCACAGAAGGCCGAATACTCCGCGGCCTGGGGAGACTGGGCATACGGGGGCCGCACAGGGGCCGAGACTTCACAAAGTAGTTTGGCCTCGGGGTCCACCATAGCAACACACCGAGCGCTCCTGCACAATTCAGACACAGGGTGGCGGATGCATGAGCCATCGCTAAAAAGAGGCCCCCAGACACCTAATTCAGGAGAGGCGGGGATGGGCTCCAGGGATCCAGGCGGGGAGACCTCGGGAACCGTCCAGTGAACCAAGACTTCACCATTGCACTCGGCCCTAGGGAAATAATCTCTAGGGTGCCGAAAAGCTCCGTTAATCCACAGTGGGAACTCGTAGTCCTCCGCCCCCGTGTCGAGAGCACAAGCTATGACGTCAGCATTCGCAATTTCTTGCCGCTCAGGCGCACAAGACGGGCACTCCCAAATGCGATGCCACAACGTATCCACCGACTCGTGGCACAACTGGCAGAGGTCGCGAATCTGGCACCCTGCCAACTTCGCTGAACTGGCCGTCCAAATAGCATTACACGCAAGAGCCCTCATCGTGGAGCGGTCCCTCGGGCTGGAGTGCTTCAACCTGATTTGGGACCTGACAATGCCCCAACAAGGCCTGTGGCCGACCCCAAGCTTCCCCCCCGAAGACCTTTCGAGCCCCCTCAGCACAGCAGCCCGACACAAAGCCCCCGCCAGCTTCGGAGACAGGAGGAGGAGCTGGAGGGCCCCCCCTAGATCGTTAGTAATGGTGCAGAAATTTGGCATGTGCCACCCCAACCGGTACAACGACATTCTCAACGCCGAAATAGGACCCCTCACTTTGGCCCAGGACCAGTCGCCCTTGCTAAAGGCGACCTCCCACGCAGAGCGTAAAACGGCAAGAGGAAGCGCACCATCCAAAGCATGCGTTTGAACGAGCCAAAGCTCTTTGCACCAACGAATGATGGGCGCGACACTGGCCCTCCAAGGGGGGTCGCCCTCAAGGAGGGAAAGAATGGTGAGGGAACGATGCTGGGACTTGGGAGAGATCGTGGCCATGCCTTTGCTCCTGAGCGCGTGAAGCCCACGGTCCGAGAGACGCCCCAGATTTCAGCCCCAAACGAGACGCCCGCCAGCGGGC